TCAATAAAACACGTTTATTGCAGTTTATTTCCAATATTCGTTACGCTTTCATGCTCGCATGATGGTATAGTTTTTAAACTTTGTGCGTTCATTCATGTAAATTCAGGGTCGAGTGTTTCGATTTATCTCGTGTGATGAGATACTACAAACAATAAACAGCAATTGCAATACCTGGGCAAAATGTCATGGTCCTTTCTAAAAGTCAGTGACGTTTCGGGAACATTTTCACCCCATTTGTCCTTATCATTACCAGAAAAACATTTCAGATACTATGTCAACATTCTCACTTTAAACGAGATTCGATCTTTTCTTTGTTCTTTTCTCGGCAACTGTTGAAAGAAGGTTTTCCTGAGGTTACTGATGCAATGATTAAATATTAAAATTCATCATTCAAGGTTTTCCTTTGGTATTTACGTAACAATTTTCGCCGAAAAATTTGTTGAAAGGTTGACTTAACTTTCCCGAAAACAGTTTCGAGCCTTCGTTAATCCAGATTAAAAGGGCACGCTCTAGTGCCTGCACCCTTGTTGTCGGCGGAATTGATGGCTTGTCCGTGAACAGTCTGCGATAGTATTTACCATTTTTTGGACATTTTATTTGACAGTTGGCTCGTCATTCATTCTCATTAATTACCTGAAGAGCCTCCCAGCTGGTATAGTGGTTAGTGACCCTGACTACCATAGCGCTGGGCCCGGATGCAAATCCGAGAAGGCATGCTTGTAACTGTCCGTCCCTTCATAGGAAACAACAGTTGTCACCTATTAGGTGCTTTCATTATGAAATGGCCACCACTTCCGGTCCTTGTAATGGCGCAAGACTAATAGCTATTAAATAAAGCCCCCAGCCATAAAAAAATTACATGAAGACGATTCTTCGTACCTATATATTAACTAATTATTTTAAATGGATTCAGTGTCATTTTCCCTATTTTGGTATTCTATATATGATTTATTGCAGCTGAAACAATGGAGTTCTAAATTACACTGTTAATTATTATTATAATTATTATAGAAATATTCATATTATAAACAAGAGTACTGTAATTCGGTTTATTACCAATAAATTATAATAATATTTCTGCGATTATCAGATTTTTAATATATGGCATTAATATGAATTTCTAAAATATTTTCGGAGATGTTTATTTCTTTAATGAGGTTGTCAGTTAAACCAGCTGTCGGCTAAGTGTACTGTCGGCTAAATGTCCTTGTCGGCAAAGTGTCCTTTGGCTAAATGTTCTAGTCGGTTAAGTTTCCTATTTCCTAAACGTCCGCGTCGCAAAATGTCCTGTCAGCTAACTGTCTGTGAAAGGTTCTGTCGGCTAAGTTTCCACGACCGGTTTTAACTACTTTAAATTAAATCTAGAAAATTTTAATAAGTTACATGAATGAGAAAATATTTTAAGCTATGCGCATATTGTTAGTGGTTGACGCACTGTTTATGCTTTGGTGCTTTATTTACATTTCGGGATAAATAATTTCTTCTTATAAATGACCTAGAATTCTATATTCCGTTTTATATAATGTCCTATTTAATTTAACTATGGCAATCTGAATAATTAAAGTGCCTAACTAACTAGCTTGTAAAACTAGTTCCTCTTCGCGCTATTTATCTTGTTTAAGATTTCACCTTTTCAGTTTTAATCTGATTTTTTGGGATTGCATTTATATTTTAAGATGGTACTATTATCAGTTGTAGCATAATTATCATTATTAAAAAAATAGATATTTTCGGCCTTTTAAAATCTATGGCAGTTTTGTTGGTCAACTGTATTTGCTTTGTTGTGAGTCTAATGATAGAAACTTGCATTATAGAGGATTTGTCTGGCACATTTTAAGCAGAAGTTTGTGGTAACGTGTGGCCCCAAATTGTCAGCAACTGTGGTAGTGACTGCTACGAAATGTAAATTTACACAAACACGTAAGAAGGGTTTAAAGCCCTTTTTATTCCACTTTAAAAATAACAGCTGCGTCCACTCGACGCTCACAAACTACGCCGACCCGGCGGTTTAACAGAAACAGAATGTAAAACTGAAAAAATAATGACTGGATGAATAATAGCTAGATCACTATCCCACGAGGCTCTGAAATCTTAACTACCTAACCGCGTTCTAAAAATACAGCTGAGATTCAGCGAGCTTACTAATTAAGCAGTTGAAAGATTCAGCAAACTGCCGAGATAGGCACACAGGCCGAAACGCGCGGTTCTTAAATTTCTACCTAGCAACCTTCACGTTCGCGATTCAAGAGGTACACTTACAAACGCGTTTCCCTTCTATTTAAACTCAACTTACTTCTGCTAAAATTTGAATATACTGCGCGCTCTACTAAAATTTACATACTCTAGCATTGGCAATTCTATGGGAAAGTAAAGGTTTGACAGGAAAGATAGCTTAAAATAAGTGTTATTTAAAATAAATATAAACCCTACAAGTTTATGAAATTTTTTCTCGTCATTACCTTGTCAAATGTTGTTTTTGTAAACTGAGAAAAGAGAAAATTTAAATAATAAAAATAAAATAATTAGGTAATCTAAAAATAATTATGACAGAAAAGAAGTAAATTGTGTGTACTATGAAACAGCCTTTTATATATATATATATATAAAAAAAAAAAACAGTCGTCGTAATTTTTTTAATATTTAGTTAAATTTTAATTTTTTATACGAAAAATAACCGTTGCTGTACTGAAAACAAATGTTGCCGTTGCTGTTAACAAATGCGAGTGAGGTATAATCTCCTCCTACCCTTTGTTAAATGTGAGATCTGAGATTGTTTACTGTTACACAGCTTGCCGGTTTGTTGCAAAACATGAGATACGGCTACCTTCATTTCTTTCTGCGCATCAAATTTTAATCTGCAAGCATTTTTTATGACAGCTAAGGGTGAAATTCCAGCCTTTTATAGATAAAGAAGTTGCATAAGGAATTAATATCTGTATAGTTAAGAAAAACTCAATTTTGGAAAGGCCTTCCTGTTTTAAATGAAATCCAAGATTTTGAATGGACATGAAGTTCGTTTAAAATCTGTGAGTATCTTTTGAGCAATAAAATTTGAAAGTGACCATCGTCGAAAGAAAGTATTTTGAAATTTTTTAATTTCGACCGAAAAAATCTAGCTCTTTAAATCCTCTAATTGTTGAAAATATTCGACAGTATCTGTGAGTAGCTCGATGTAGATTTACACACTGTAATCTATGCGAAAAAATAAGCAGGCTTATGTTGATATATAGAGATTTAATATTCTGTAATAAAACATTGCAATTGTAATTTTGTATTGATACATTTTCTGCCCGTGGAAAAGAGAAATTGACTAACGGAGGCTTTAATTGTTTTTGTTATATTAAGTATTAATTTGTTTTGAGGAAAATAACATTACACCGCGGCTTTGGAAATAACATGCAAGAATAGATCTTAATGTTCACAGCTGCTGAAATTTAGACTTAAACTCGGGAGAGCTTTTCATTAATGGGCTGTTGATCAAGACAGGTAGAATTTTTCATTATATATATACAGCATGCCACCCAGACATTGAGTTCTGCCAGTCGAGGAATAAATAAAGGAAATCGAAGCTGTTGAACTGCTTTTCTGCATAATTTACTCATTTATATTTCCGATATTTTAACGATTTTAAATTAGTATCCGTTACAAAAGAGTTTTAATTCTTCTCAACTTTCGTTATACATAGAACTGAATATATAACTCGGGGACTTATTATGATGAAGCTACACTATCAGGTAAAATTTAGAAATGGAAACTTTTAATGTTATAAATAATTTTTGTTTGTTTATTTCGCATTAAAAAGATTTTATTAGCCCAGAAGGACTGTTAATTTCAAAACGGCATTTTGCGTCGATTCTGTTTTCAAACTGTTGCCACCAAATATTATCTCTCTGTATTATATTTAAAGAAACTAAATAATGGAGAATCTGCATGAATGCATGAAAGTTTCTTGCATTGTGAAAACACAACGGTACCTAGAGCCATCAAATTTTGAATAACGTAGTCCCCCAACCGAACAGGGGCACTCGGAAGCCCGAATTTTGAATTTCGAATTTGTTTTATTATCTATTTCATATTTTGTAAAACATTAAAGAATTTTTGACTAACGAACTCAACGATTTCAAAACGAGCAATGCAACACTACGGAAAATAAAACACTTTTATCTCCAGCGCTAGAGACTGTGTATCGAAAATTATGCTCTTTTTAAATATTTTGTGATATTGCTGTTGAATTGAATTTTATGTGGTTTACGTGTAAAGAATGTGGTACTTAATAAATAAAGGTAACGCACAAAACGTTAAAAAAAAAAAAAAAAAAAAAAAAACGCCTTTTTGCACGTAATATAAAATCTGAAATCTTTCAGTTTTTTAGTCCAAAGGGGGCTTTGTCCCTGAAGGACTATTGTTTTCGTTTTGCGGTGAAAACTTTAAAAGGCTGTATCACTTTTCAAATCGTTGCCATCAAATGCTATCGCCCTGTATTATGTTCGAAGAAATTAAGTAATGAAGAATCTGCATGAATGTATGCATGTTTCTCACATTGTGAATAAAACAACGGTACCTAGAGCCATCAGATTTTGAAATGACGTAGTCCTCCACCTGCGAATATTAGTACTTGGAAGAACGAATTTTAAAATTTTGGAATTTGTTTTATTATTTATTTCATATTTTGTAAAACTTTAACGAATTTTTGATTAACAAACTCAACGATTTAAAAGCGAGCAGTGGCGACACTCTACGAAAAAAAAAAAAAAAAACCTTTTTATCTCCTAGACTGTGTATCGGAAATTCTAAAGATATGCTCATTTTAAAATTATTCTGCGATATTGCTGTTGAACTGAATTATATGGTTTAAGTGCGAAGAACATGATACTTAATAAATAAAGGTAACACACGAAACGTTAAAAAAACACCCTTTGGACGTAATTTCAAATCTGAAACCTTTTAGATTTTTTTTAATTTATTTATTTATTTATTTATATTTTTTGTTTCATTTACAGGAATGCTTCATACACGTCATGCAGCCAATCCTATTAGGATATCTAATTGAACATTTTGCGAGAATGAAGGTTGTGACGAAGCAAGACCTGTATTTCTATACTGCTTGTGTTTGTCTTTTAGCTGCAATGTTCGTATTCACGCATCATCGATATTTCTTTGGTGCACAGCGTATTGGTATGAGATTGCGAATAGCATGCTGCTCTCTAGTATACAGAAAGGTATGCATGGATTCTGCAGGTATTGGTTAACAATTATATATTATACTTTTCAAAATTAAATTTCTACTACACAGTAAAATATTTTTTATTTAACAGGCTCTGAAGCTTAGCCAGGCAGCGCTGAGTAGGACAACGGTTGGACAAATGGTGAACTTATTGTCAAATGATGTTAACAGATTTGATCAGGTAGAGTATTATGAATGAACGGAAATATGATGGAAAGCCTATACTAGAGCATTCAAATATGGTTGGGATCATTTTTTACGTGATGATAACTACGGCATAATATATAAGCTTTTAGATATTCTGATGCCGTATATTCTGGAATATTCACATGTTACTTACACTGCAGAGGGAGCCCAATGTTGTCAGTCCTGTAATTAGGAGCCTGAGTCAGTAGAAAGTACCACGGTCCATTGGGAAAAAAACCTATTATCTTTAAGTTTTTGGTAAAGAAAGGGATCTCACGCTCGCATATTTTGAACAGGCTTTGCAGACAGTGCAGAGTACTGTGCCTGATACAAATATGTGGATTGTGAACGTACTACCACATTCTCATTGTAGTTCAAATTTAATCTGTAGATCTCCTATGTGTCACCACATTCGTTCGGAAATGAAAACGAATCCAAGCAAGCACTTTTGAGGAAGAAACGGCGGTTGTCTTTTGTGGTCCGGTGCCTGCTATGTGTTCAAACTGACCCTCTTTCCAATAATTTCTGGAATGTTGAGAAAGATATTAACGTATATTTTGTAATGGAGAGAAAATACTTTGAATAGTAACATGCTTTGTTTGAAAGTGTATAGGTACTTCACCTTTTTCAATCAATTCATTTTTCCAGGCCATATTTGGATGCTCTAGTACAAATATCTTTTCTTTGTGTTTAAGTAGTTTCAGATGCCTAACCAAGTTTAAAATTAGGCAAATATAAACTTTAGTTCTGAGTCAATTTAAGGAAAGCTTCAAAGAAATTCGATGTGATTTCAAAGGAATTTGATACGGGGACGCTTTTTGAACGAAAAAGGTAATCAAAAAATAAGGTAGCAATAAATGGTAATAATAAAGGTGCTACTTTGGTAGACGGTTGCACGGATTTTTGGCGATTTACGTTGGCGCAATTGTTGGCGCGATTTTTACAATCGTCAGCCATCTTGAAAAACGCTGTTTTTACGCATAGTAACTTATTCGAAACTTAAAAAAAAAAATAAATATCGGAGTAATAATAATAATTTTAAATAAAAAAAAATAGTAATGGATTAATTTTTTGTTGAAAATGTCGTTTTTTAAGATGGCAGGCAAGTGTAAATAAATACATTTACTATGAGTATAAATACTAAAGTAAGGCTATTATTACTTTCATGTAGCAAAAAAGAGAATAAAAAACACCGCTATAAAAACATTGTGCCAACGTCTAATTAGATTAAATATTACTGAAATTGAATATCGATTAAAAACCATCCTACCAACATTTAAAAGAATTAGAATATTATTACATTCAAATACTTTAAAATATGTTATATAAATATAATTAACATTAAAACATATGTGACAATAATTATCTCAGCAATTTTTGAAAAAGTATATTAATTTTTTTAACAAAAATTTGAAGTATACATTTATAAAATAAAATAAAATATGTACTTACATTTTTTTTGAGTAATTTAACCTCTTGTTTATTGATAAGTACGCCACAAAAAAAATCGAAATCATAATTGAATCGGCTCTTTTAACCATCTTCATCTGTTATCCACATATCTCGCACTTCATTGAAGAAGCAATTAGCGAGGTTTCCTCCAAAAATTTTAAATAAATTTCTCTGACCTATTAACAATTTATAAATAAAATCTTTGATTAGGAAAGACAGGTTGGCCAAAATAAGGTCTCAAAGGGCATTTTTTTTATTCCGATACCAATAATTCTTGGTAATTACCAATAACAACATTCATCTTCGAAACAGAGATATCCATTCCATTTGAAATCTGACGAATTCGAAGAGATGAATAATAAAATTTTAAAATGGCGCTTTAATACACAAATATTCAGTAACCAATCAGGGAGCTGATTACATCACGCATAGAATTAAAATTATTTAAATAATCATTCATAATAAAATCATTTTTAAAACAAATGCAAAATTAAATTGTATTTTAATATTTAACAGCCATAAATAATGTTAAAACATTAGATTAAATTTATAGATATTATAAAACCAATTACTTTTTAAGTAAGGTGACGTCATTGATTACATCATCCACACACATAAAATTATTACAAAATTTTTATTTCAAATAAAAATGTAAAATTAAATTGATTTTTTAATATTTAGAAGCAATAAATAATATTTAAAACACGGAAGTTATGCATAATAAAACGCATTATTTTTTTAATAAAATGACAACAAAGTATCGGTTACCATAAATAACTTATCCAGCAATGGGTTTACCATAAGTTGTATTACTCGCCAAAAGAAAAATCGCCAAAATCCGTGAAACCGTCTACCAAAGTAGCACCATAATAAAAGAAAGTATTAAAATGTAAAGTAGCAGTAAATGGTAGTAATAAAAGAAAGCACATGAAAAATAAGGTAGCAGTAAATGGTAGTATTAATAGAAAGCCTATAAAAAATAAAGTAGCAGTAAATGGTAGTAATAAAAGAAAGCACATAAAAAATAAGGTAGCAGTAAATGGTGGGAATAAAGGAAAGCACAATAAAAAATAAAATAGCAGTAAATGGTAGCAATAAAAGAATATAAAAAATAAAGTAGCAAGTAAATGATAGTAAAAACAAAAACATGTATAATTGCCCAATTATAGGAAAGTACCCATCAACAGCATACAAAAGCATTGTAGCCATTGACAAAATGCAGGAACGAAAAGAGTAAAAGATGTGAAATAATGCTTTTTAAACACGTTGAGATAATTATTAATGGAATTCAAAGTATTGGCTAAAACTGGCTAATTATACCTTATTGCAAGTAACTTTACAAATTGTTTAAAGATGAATGATTTGTTTATATAGTAAGTAAGTGTAGTTTCTTTAATGTGTGAATTGATTAAACTTTACATTGTAAGAGGTTTTTTTTTTTTTTTTTTTTTTGTTGTTAAATTTGTATTAATGTAAATTTTGAATGAACCCCTGGTCATTCGAGAGGCAGTCTGTAGAACTGTATTGCACCAAATGGCGCTGTGTTGCGCTTGAATTCCTTGGACTAGTGCAGAAACTTGATGACTGACAGAGATGTAACACGAACGCGAAACACTAACTAAAGTTTACATGTGTTTCTCTTTGTTTGTAAATGTATAATGGAATATTAGATAATTATTAATGGAATTCAAAGTATTGACTAAAACTGGCTAATTTCGATGAATTTGAGAGCATTCAGAGAAAATCCGTGCACTACCCGAAGATAGTTTTGGTATCATTTTAATGAAATTAAATTAAAGGAAGGGTTAAGAAACTAACAATTTATTAACCATGGAAAAAATTTTATTTTCTGTTTTTCTGCCCCAATTTAGTGCTTTTTGTTTTGTATAAGTGGTCGCAATATAAAAACCAATTATGATTATACTCAGTTTGTATCATTTAACAATAGTTAGTTGCTTAAACTTGTAAAACGTAATATTAATTGCCGTGTCGTTTACGATGCTGAAAGAAAATGCACAGCAGAGCTTTTTTTTAATATCAAATTTGCAACGAAATGATATTTACAAATATAATTATATATTTCCCTGTTTCTTTTATAATATGCTAACATGCAATAATATTCATATTTTCAGTCTGTCGTATATCTTCCTTACCTGGTGGCAGGACCCATCCAAACTGCGATAATCATTGGTGTACTCTGGTACCACATCGGCTATGCTAGTCTAGCTGGAATATCTGTCCTTCTATTATACATTCCATTTCAAGGCTTGATGGGAAAACTATTTTCCAAACTCAGGTAATTAGTATTAATAAGAATTATTTATATCCAAAATGTAACTGATGTGGCCGTATCGTTTTATTTTATACGACTTTCAGCTATCCGAGGATCCACGTTATTTCTAACAGTCTGGGCGTATTGTATAAGAATTTTAAGAATATCTGAAATTTTGCTCATATAGATTTCTTTTTAAAAATACAAGGGAAAGCATTTTGAATACTTCAGACTGCAGTCTAGTTCCTGGAAGAAGACTGCTATTAAAATTTCAAAAAATGTCCCAAAAGTATAAAGAGCATAAAATATCTGATCTTACTCTGCAGATTTCGAGCTAACACTTGAAACAATTTTAAAATAAGCAGTCATGACATGGCCTACTAATTTAGAATTAGTCCATAAACATTAAAGAGATAATATCTCGTATTAAAAGTGAGTTTGGTACGCTTCTGCTGTCGGGACAGAATTCAGGAACGTATAAATGTATGAACGTGTTATGTGCCTATGTGCATATATACACGTATATATATACACGCACATATATACCTACGTACATATATACACGCACATATATACCTACGTACATATATACACGCATACATGAATACATATACAGTAAGACCCCGCTTAACGCTGTTTCGTTTAGCGCTGTTTCGGTTTAGCGCTCTTTTATTTCAACCCGGGGATTCCACGAAATCGCTCGCAGCATACGGGGATTCCCCGAAATATTATGCAGCGATAGGTTTCAAATACATATCCGAAAGAGTGTACTTGTATTTCTTTTTTGGTGCGGTATTGTACAGACATATTTTGAAGGGGTAAATGTGGAAGATGTCGAAGAAATAATTCAAGAAGCAGCGGCTAGTCTTTCTAATGATGAGCTCAAGGAATAACTGAACAAGAAAAAACAAAAATGTTGACAGCAGTGATTCAGAAGACAGCAAAAAGAACTTTCGATGGCGTTTTTGTAAAAAGGAGTTTGTCTACCATAACTGAAATAATGGATCAATTCATTGAAAATGATCCGAATTTGACAGGAGCTCAAAAGTAAGGCGTGGTGGTATTAGAGATGCTCTATCCGTTTATGAAGAACTTTTAAGAGAACAACGCAAAAGAAAAAGCAAACAACATTAGATGCTTTTGTCACAAAAAGGCAGAACACTGAAAACGCGGAAGGCTAACTAAATATGACTGAGAATTTTATTTATTTTATTTTTTTTAAGAATATTCGTTTTTGTTATTTATATTTTGTTTTTATTTTTGCAAGAAATAATAATGTGGTATTAATTTGGGCTTTAAGAAATAAATGTTTGGTTTTATTTTTATTAAAAAAACATACTTTTTAAATTTAATACTTAACCAATTTCCTAGCCATCTTCCCCTAACCCCAATATTTACATGTAAAGATAGCCTCGTTTAGCGCTGTTTCGCATTACGCTCTACTTTGATGGAACGCGTTAAGCGGGGTCTTACTGTATACAAATATACGTACGTGTATACATACATACATTACTGAACCTGGTCGCAGTAGTAGAATATTACCGTGAGCTTTTTAGAATGCCAAAGTGGTTTAGTAAACATTTGTTGTGATTTCATCGTAATTTAACATCATATGGATACTTCTATGCTTATTTACTAAAAATAACACAGCGTTATTGGAAACAAAGGTGTGAGTTTACGTCAGTAAAACAAACGTGTATGAGGCTTGTAATAAACAATTTCGCCCAACCGAAAATACTCTTTTTTCTCTTTTTCTTTTATATATCTTTTTCTCTTCTTTCCTTCTTTATTTTCTTAATCTTTTTCATTTCCATACCTACTTTTTTTTTCTTCCTTTGTATTGTTGCTGTTTTTGTTACCAGGATAAGAAATACCCTTCCCCCCCGCACACAAAAAATAAACAAGGTGTTTAAAAATATTTGTAGGTGAAATTCAGGGACAATAGATAAGAATTGCCTTACTATACAGTTTAAAACAGGGTTTTATCTTACTTATTTATTGCAAGCCATGTTTCTCTGTAGCACGTAAACACTTAGAACACTGTTTCTAAATTTTGTTTCCTGCGCGCCTCCTGTTTTTCACCATGTTTCACCATAATTTCATTCCTGTCTTAAAAATGTTTTATTCAAATAATCCATTTCAAATAATATATAAATATTTAAATGAAGATATATAATTTTTGTATACGGATAGCATCTTTATTTAGTGTAGTATTTATACGTTTATTAATATGTTTACTAACTGAAACAACGAAACATTTTTATTGGTTTCGCTTCATTTACTCTTCAACTCTTTCTGTTCATGTGGTTTCAATTGCGAAGCTGATCTTTACCAACAGAAGCTCTGAGATTATCAATTTTAAATTAAATATTTCCTCACGAAAATTGTGAAATTATGTGCCCCGGCTAATAACCCTTTTTTTAAGAGGATAGGTTAGGTAAAAAATATTCATTATTTCTCGTAGCATAATCCGTTCTTCGATCTTTCATTTCCATGTAAACATCGCTGAAAACAAGATGTGCCTTAGAAATGGTATCATAGAATAACACACTTTTCCTAATTATAATTATTCTGAAAAAATAAAAATTCTGTAAATTAATTAATTAACTAGAACTACTGTTTTATTAATAAATTAAAGTTGGTCATTAAAAATATTTCTTGATGTATTTAAGTGTTTTATTTCATTAATGTCACTTTTATTAATTTTACTTTTGTAATGGGATTTAAATTAAAGTTACGTTTTAAAGAACTGAAAAAATACGGTATATTTTTTGTTAACTTTCCAAATAACAGCGGTAGATGTTTTTTAATTACTAGCTGAATTTTTGTAATATCCATTTTGTGTAATTGATTTTTGTACATGTTGCAGCCCTGAATCAATTAGAATCCATCAATTAATCTCTAACAATTAACATCAATAAAATAGTACCCCATGTTGTGCAAATTAATGAATTATGTGAAATTAAAATTATTGGTAAATAATTGATTCGCATCAGTTTCAGTATTTTTTTTCTTTTCAGACTGAAGACAGCAGTGCTCACCGATGAAAGGATTCGATTAATGAACGAGATCATCAGTGGAATGCGAGTTATTAAGATGTACGGTTGGGAAATACCCTTCGCCAGTTTAGTAGACTTAAGTCGCAGGTAATTAACTCATTGGAATCGAAGATTTTACTTTTCATATGTTCTTTAGCGGATTACAAATCAGTAATTATCTTCGTATTTCCATTACTTTCGTAACGTTGGTTTATGTTCCTGTATTTTTCTTATTTATTGCTATTAGACTCTTCTTCATGCAATACATGGTTTAATCTATAAGATGTAAAGTTTGAATATTATATTTTTATTTTACATATAGCATCATGCATTCCTATAAAAATATTACCATAACACTTTGTAACGATATCGTTCCTCTTTTTCTTAGCACGTACATGTTAGCAGCAATGCAGAAAGACAATATATAAAATGCCAAAAATTGGATTCAAAGTATGAAATATGTTTCACATTTTGGTTAAGCATTCTATGGAATACCACTGCACATTCCATTGCACGTTCTTCCGAGCCATTTGGTCTTTCGCAATGCATGTGTTTTTCCATGTTTTTGATTTATTATTTGCTCTATGGTCTAGTAGTACCACACCAATCTCTTGGATCAGTTTCACGTATATCCATTTAATAACTGTGTTTTGCCTTTGTTGCTTATATTTTTAACAGGAGTGTATAATTGTTGCATAATTTAAAGAAGATTTACGTGTTTTGCGAAAAAAATATTTAAGTTTCCCATTAATCTTGAAACATGAATATCAATAAAAACTTATATTGTTGTTTCTGCTGTTCTTACATGCTTTGTTTTTATTTTAAAAAGTGTGTAGTACTTTGCAAATGCTAAGTTATTTGTGAACGTGAAGAATTTTAAGAACTGATAAGCGAATAAATCGCTTGAGTTCGTGTGACAAGAACAACAAGATGGAAGGGTAAATAACCCTTTATTATTCAGATAAGATTTAACAGAACTCCGTCTTGGAGTGTACAGTAAAAGCCGACACTTGGGCTTGAACTTAAGAGACTAAAAATTAAACTAAAACTAATCTAAACTAAAAGAGATATAGCCGAAGCTGTCAAGATTCTAAGCGAGTTGACCCTTAACGCTAATTGACTGCGAAGCTATCAATGGCCTGAGTACGGCCGAGCGTAATAACAGCTTTGAGAGAGAGTAGTCAAAAAGGCGGACGCGCCGCTAATCAGAAACTCTGATTCTCTCTAACTCAGCAAGTCGAACTACGCGGTTAAATACCACTCTTCCTCATTATATATTCAGACGTGATTCCACAACTACGTTCTGGCCGGAAATAGTAACTTGAAGTTAAGAATTTGACAGGAAAGAAGTTTAACTCAAAATTTAACTGTTAATAAAATTAACATAATCCTTGCAAGTGTGTATAATATTTAAAAAAAAATATTTTTCTTAGATACTAAAGCTAGATGTGAATTTTGTCAAGCGATATAAAAAACTGATGTTAGCATAGGAAGGTTTTAGAACTAGAAGTAGAAATAAGATCTTTTAAATTACATTTAAGCTCTTTTATCGTGGGTTATTCTGTCGCAGGCTGTTTTGTTGCAGCTATTTTGACGGGTCACGGACTTAAATATATTACATAAAATATTAATAAGCGTTAATTAACTGTTGTAAGATTAACATCTTTCATATTTTTAGGAAGGAAGTGAAAAAAATCCGCCGCACTGCTATCTTGAGAGGTGTGAACTTGGCTATGTTTTTCATATCATCCAAAGTGATCTTGCTGATATCATTCGTGGTCTTCGTTCTAGGAGTTAAAGGTGATCTAACCCCTGAAAAAGTCTTCGTCTGCATGTCCCTCTTCAATAACCTCCGTGTAGCCATGACGTTGTTTTTTCCATATGCCATCGCTCAAGGTGCCGAATCTATAATCTCCCTAAAGCGAATACAGGTAAGGGAATTTGTTCTTTAAATGTCTTTATCTTGATTAATTACTTATTGTTCTCCTCATGGCTTACAGCCTTATTGAGGGAAGAAACATAAAAAATAGTCTTTTGGTTGGCCTTACTAAATTAAGTATCCCTTAATGCACTTCTGGCTATTAAAATTGCAATACAAAGCAAGGAGATGATCGACTGAAAATTTACATAACATAACTGGCAGAACATGATAGGGCATGACCATGATTAGCAATGCAATGCAAATGCAACTAATATACGCTTGTAACACTGCATAAAATCAGTGTATCCCACCTCCGAGAAAAAAGGATTGGTTTTCCATGGAAGAATCATTTCTCCGCCTTGTTTGTTTGACTCCAGATGAAATATTGAAAAAACGTAAAAAGACAAAATATGGCACGTATAGCAAGCAGCATGCTCCGAATTCAGTTGTGGGAGAATAGCAGCGTACCATGGATTATCATAACGCCAAATTGTTCCTGACGTTGGCCCAAACAAAACGTCTATTTTACTGATAAGAAGGCTATGGGTCCAGAAAATATAGCCAGAGGTATGCAGGTTCACAAGTACAACACATGGGCGAATGGCTTGTATGGACCGTTCAGATACGTCACTCACCCCATTACAGGGAATAAGATGTGTGGCGCGGCAAGATACATGCAAGTATAATGGTGAAACGTCTACGTATATACTATGCACTCAGGAGGATGAGTTCAGGAGGAAACTGGGATATTACGGGATGTCCTGAGGATGTAGCAAGTAGGACTTTAAATCCTAAAAACATCCCATACGCTGTCGATGGGACATAGATAGGATGTTCTTAGGATATAATGGGATGTGTTTAGGAGGTTAGTGGGATATCCCGGGATGTCCTGAGGATGTAGTAAGTAGGATTTCATATTCTAATAAGATCCCGTACGCTGTCGATGGAACTTAGTTAGGATGTCCTGAGGATATACTGGGATGTGACATTAAGCACTCGGGAGGAGGTGTTTAGGAGGATCGAGGGATATTCCGAGATGTCCTGAGAATGTGCGCATATCTCGCGAGCAACATCCTCAGGATATCCCAAAATTGTTTTTGTGCTATGTGAGTATAGACTAGGGTTTCTTAAACTTTTTTCAGTCGCGACCCCCAAGACCCCATAATATTTACAAACATTTTGTGGGAATCCCATAAATATTGCGCAAATCTGACAAACGCGTGAGTGAAACTGTCAATCTTTTCACTTGTACTGTAATAAAACTATTGCAGTTTTAGGTCATAAACTTTAATTTCTAATTTTTAGACATAGAACAATGTGAAAATTTTAAATAAGTAACAGACGAAATGACAGCGTCACGTGCAAAGCAAGGAAAGTGAAAGTTTATATTATAAAAAGAATGCGTCGAAACGTTTTCGTTTCCTTTTTTGTCTGTATTATCTTATCTATTTTCAGATACATTGTGTAAAAATATTTGGTAACTGTAAAATTATTATAATAATATAAAGAAATATCAAAACTGCTACAATTTTTTGGCGACCCCCTGCTGCAGGTCCCGCGACCCACAGTTTAAGAAACCCTGCTATATACGATGTTTACCTATGTGGTAAAACGTCATTTTGAGGATCATGGGTTGCTTGTACGATAGCCATTGTTTTATAGGCGCATGAATGATTTAACATCATCTTCTTAGACAAATCTCGCTTCTGCCCACAATCGACGTCAATCACTATAGACGTCTATTGTAGGCAGAAGCGTGTGGTGCCGCCGTGGAAACCACTCGTCATCATACCGTCCTATAGTCTGATACTTTAAAATAGGCACTTTCCGATTTTCCGCCGATCGTAACACGTGTTGTCATCTCCTCACAGCACTTCTTATCTCCACCTCATTTGAGACTGTAGTTCAAGTCAGACTTAATTCATGCGCTTTTCACAAAGCAAAAAAGTGAATACCCAATTCAAAAGTAGGAAATGTATGGTGTTAAAATTTCTAAGTGCAAAAAGAGCAACATTAGTAATCGGAAAGGGAGATACCGCCAATCATTACTTCTGCGTGGACAGAAGACTCCAAACGATGTGTACAATGTGGCGTTAGCCCACATACTCTCGAAACGTGTATGTCTGTAAATTGGAAAAAAAAAAAAAAAAAAAAAAAGACTCGTTTGGGCGTAATATAAAATCTGAAATCTTTCAGATATTTAAAAAAGAACACTTTTTTTTTACTTATTTATTCGTTTTCTTTATCATCATTTAATACTTTTTAACTGTTAAAATTTGAAGCCCCATAAAATAAAATGTTGTTATACATATAGTTTTTTTCTTCTTTGAATAAATATAAATATATTTATTAAAAAGTGAAAATTTATTCGAAATTTGCCTGAAAGGGAAACAAATACATAATTTAGGCTTGATATTAAACAATGAAACATTCAATATAAATACATAAACGTGTATAAATATTTGAAATATAGCTAATTTTATTCTTATAAATCCGTGATTAATAATTTACGGTGGGCAATATATAATATTAATATATATATATTTATATAAGATATGATGAGTTTTTTTTCCCTTTTTATTTTTATCGTGAATTTAAATTAATTACCTATTTAATTCACAGTTGCATGTGTTATACAAACAGAAAGTGCGTAATTCTTTTGATGAAGCTCTTTTAGACCTCCAGAATAGTTCTGAAAACTATTATTTCTTGCATGTTATCATTTTAAATCTTTGAAATAATTTAAAATACTTCTTAAATAAAGTACTTCTTCATACTTGCCTGGCAGATTAAAAAGAAAATTTGGTATAGTTTGACTGATTAGAAGAACATAAACAACTTAAATGAGAAAATATTTGAAAGCAGGACACCATAGAAAGAGAGTGTTTTGAAAGTAAACGTGCAAAAAAATAGTTTTCTGTTATTTCACGTGCGTAAATATTAATATCGACCTTGATCAAAACATATAAATAATAACGCCTTTGATATTTAAAAAATTTACTTGATATGTAGGAAAAAATACTTGAATAAAGTTTCATTTCATTTTTAATAAAAAAGGGTTTAAATTCTAATACCTTTATATCCATGCTTAGAAATTTCTGCTTTTGGAAGAACAGCAAGAAACAGCACTACTGGATGTGTCCAATTTGCGCCCTAAACTCAATCAATGTGGAATATGGATGCAGAAAGTCGTTGCTTCATGGAACAAAGTAAGATTTATTTTTCCTTGCTGGTTACTGTTAATTTTAAATTGAGCAGAAATTTTAATGAAGTCCAAGACTTAATCAAAACTTTTCAGCATAAATGGTGTCAGTATCGAAAATGTTTGAAAAACTAAGTTAGTTGTTCTTAATTTACGCATAGTGCTTGTTGTAGCCTTAGAAATCAATGTGTTTCACACTGTAAAATATTCTTTTGATATTCCTCCAACTGATTACTGACATTTCTTGAAATTGAAACTGAAACTTCTTATCTATAGAATAAAGCATTGAAGACTGAGTTGATATCATCAGGCAGTCCAGATACAGCGAATGAATGAGTGAAAGACGATCTTAGAGTTATACAACGAAAAATATGTCCAGTGTCTGAAGAAATACATCGAAATGGCAGCAAGTCTATTTAAAAGTGCTTGAAATCTATACTTTAAAAAAGAAATGAGTAAACTAATTGTCTAAATCATGCGTTTCCAAACTTCTAAACATTGCGACTCACTTCATCCGAAACAGAATCTATAGCGAAAGTATAGTGCAACTTGGAAATTGTTTATTTCATCCAAAAATTCGTTGCCAAAATTATATTAATTAGAAAAATAATTTTAAGTATTTAGAATTATGACATATTTGTTATTTGAAATAAAAGGAATTTCTTTTGATTGCCGAGCTAGGCTACAGCAACGTAAAATATAAAAAATTCTGCCAGATTTTTAGAGGAAGTTGTGATGTAATTCCACTAAATATTATTATCGAGTATCATTAATTGCTAATAACAGCACTTCCTGATTTCAGTACAATTTAAAAGACCTCTGGGTTCTTTACCGTGTTAAGGGATAAGGAATCGGCACAATAAAAAAAAAGAAAAAAATTACTCTGAAATTTTTCTAAAACATTCCACCTTTAATTTTTGTGTGTTAAATTCGGTTCTGAATAATAAACGAGGCCATTTTTGCTGAAAGGGTTTTTCATATCATTCTTTGCAATCCTTGTCCAATAGTAATCATGCACTCTTCTGTTTACAGTCGGTTGTGAGAAGGAGTAATCATGGAAATTAAATAATTCGCTTTTATTATATTGTAGAGATATTAGTTTATTTCGAAGCAGGAGACACGAAAAACGAGCAAAGCCCTCGCCGGGACTCGAACTTCGGACCTTTCGATAAGTGCCGAGTTCGCTGACCATTAAACCACGAAGGCATGCTAAGAAGGCGGGAGAAATTCCTTACATACTTCCCCTTTTATATGTGTGTTAATCCGTAAATCTGAAATATTCTGTTTAAGCTTTTCACTCTTGAAAACAAAACAGTCAGATAATTTAGAGAATCATGTTATTTTTCCTATCGGAGAAGGCGCCATCATAACAGCTCCCAGCTCTTTGATGTTGTAAAAAGAATACAATAAAAAATATATTGTATAATTTTTTTTATAATTCGCCTAAATTTTGTCTAAAGTAATAGATAAGATTAGGAGCAAGCAAAGTTTTATATATGTATAAAGATCACGTGGAGTAAGCTGCAACAGACTGACGATGGTTCTCTGCGTTGTAACCTGTGGAGATTTTACTGCGTAGTTAAAGAAAGATGACACTCAAAAGTCTTCGGTAGAACACAGGAAAAGGCCAAAAGCCATCCTCAGAAACGTATTATAGAGGTATTTCCTCTTTTGACTAACTTTTAATTACCTAAACCTTCTAAAAAGGAAAAGTCACTATTTATTCCTTAATCAATTTATACTATTATTACATACAATTATACTATTATTGCATATTAATATATTAAAATGTATGGCTTAGCATTAATAATTTGAAAAACTTAAACTTTTAATCCTTCCTGTTCATTAATTAAACTTATAGCAGGCTTAATTTAACTTTCTGATCTGTCCCTTCATTCATTCGCCCATCCCTCTAAATTAGTACGGAACTTACAAGAACATAGCCCCTCCCCCTAGCACACTGCGGATCTCACCTTACCCAAAAGGACTCCTCTTCTTTGCCAATATCAGATTTGCAATTACTATTTTCTATGAACTTGTAAAACGCTATTTTCAACGTTCGAAAAGAGATACAATTTCTATACTGGGATAGGGCTACGCTCAGGAGCCCACTACAACTGAACATTAGTTCATCGAGGACAGACTTGTAGACAGACGTGGCCGCATTGAATATCATTTTAATTGCTGGAGACGAACTAACTACCAAAAACATATCTTTCACCACACATACTCATAGGTGCAATACGCATCCCACAGTTTTATATATAGTATCCCATTTTAAACAATGGCATAGTTAGCACCACGACAAAGCAAATGGAGTGTAGTAGCATCTTGACTGCAGAAGAGGGAAAGCTAAAAAATGCTTCGTTATCCAATACGGAGGTTCACCAAGAGGAGGTTTTTGTTTAGGTTAGAATGTTTTCAGTTCTCGAAATTGTGAGTTTAAGTTCCGAATGAGTTACGTCATCGGCGTTACGCAAGCAATGCAAGATGGATTGATCTAGAAATGAAGCTGTCCAGAAAAGTTCGGATTTTTAGAATACAGAGGGGCATTTACGGGATTACCATTGGTTTAAATTATAATTTTGATTTAAATGTTTTTTATCTTACACATATACTATATTCTAATTTCTCGTTTTAATTCGGCTACTTTCTCTTCCTGTCCTAAAACTATTGATTGCTTATAATATATGAATCTGAAGTATGTCATCTCAAAACTAACTCACTTATTGCCATCTTACGTACCGCGCATTGCGGATATATTTTGTTAAATCACGTATAAAAATTTCAGTAGAGGACCGACTCTACATGTATCGCCTTCTGACTGTGCACTTATTTTCCCGATTTCCTTTTTCTCTGATAGCACGTATCATTTTAACGTTTCTAACATTAGATTAACACTGGATAGTACCTTACATTCTGATCCCTAATTTCTAGTGTTAACAAAGAACAAAACATAAATTAAACAAAGAAATGTATAACTTTGTAAAATAAAGCACAAATTAGACAAAATGCCGGGAACATTTGTTTAGTGAATTTTATATACATAAAGCACTTATTCTGGGTATTTAACAACTCACGGAATAAAAAACCTTAAATGTTTACGAAATTTGCTTTTTTTTTTTTTTTTTTTTTTTTTTTTAGAATATTTAAAATACACATTTACAAAAGAATATTATCGAAAGCCTGTATATTCGCCAAAATAGAATATGTACTGAAAAATTATTGATGTGTGATGACATTGAGGCAATAACTTTAGTAGTGGCTCAAACATTCAAATTATTTTTAAAATTATTATTATTATTTATTTATTTATCTTTAAATTTTTCTCATAAGTGTTAAATTATTTTTTTGCATTTGAATCATTTTTACACTACTTTGCATTAGAATTCCCTTTTCTAAAATGTGCGGTTCAAAGTAATCGCATTTCAAAGTCGGGGGCTAGACGACTGAATTAGCATGGGCTTTGTTAGACTCCTAGAATACGACCAGTTGCTTGTCAATGCCAATAAACGTTTCGATAACGAACGATCTCTCTCTCTCTCTCTTTTTTTTTTTATTTTTATTTTATTTTATTTATTTATATATTTTTTTTTATTTGTGTGTGTGTGTGTGCGTGTGTGGAAGAGCTTTTTAGTGCAGAAATCTGTATGCTAGTATAAAAAGGTAGCAAGACAAATGGCTCACAGCCACCATGAATCGCAGGGCCTTTCCACTTCTTTTCAAATGTGGCTATAGAATTAAGCAGCAGCTCCTATGCACTGGCACAATACTTCTGTGGTCCATTCCCAGCATATTTGCACCGCTTCTGGCGTACTGTCACAAAACTTTATGTATGCGGTAGCGAAGGAACAGCGAACCACTACCGATTTGACTTCTTATAAACATCAAGATACCACTACCTTAACAAAAACAGCTTCCACAATCTGATCAGCTTCGAGCGTTAAGACTAGTAGTAACAGTCCGCATAAAATAAAATTGGCTGAGTCAATAACATACTGTGCCACTGTGCACTCAGCCATGTCAAGCTATATGCAGCCTTCCCCAAACAAGCCCATAAATTTAAAATTACCCACAGTAATAACAGTGCAGGGGCATGTCACTCCTCATTCTATGTTTAACGCTGTTAACTATATTCAACATTCTGCAGAGTTCCGTATACGTATTTATTTTCAGTTTCATTATTTGTTTATCATCTGCCCATATGTTTAGATGATATTTCTTTCTACGTAAGTTAACTCACTAGCTGTAACTTTGTTCAAACAACGTTGTCACAATTTTGTCTCTTCCTGATTTCTCAAGTGGTGCGTGTGCTCAAGTCTTCTGTAAATCAAAGTGTCCTGTCATCATTAACTAAATTTCAAGCTATTACGTTCATTTCAACAGAACTCATTTCACTATCATAGCCGCAGTATCTTCCGACGAGTTGGCTCATGAGCTAAACTCCATGAACCCAAATCGAGCGGTGACCAGTTTGATGTACAAAACCAGCATTTAATTAAATGATAATTTTGATCTAAACTAAGGGAATTGAATACTCTCCAGAAATTGACTGATTGTAAGTTTCAAATAAAAAAGCGTAATATATTTTTATTTAATTAAATACTAGTTATATATATTATTGTTGCATTTATGGTATAACCTTCTCTTGATATGTTCACGAAAATTTTCACAGCAGCTTATTAGTTCAAATCCCAAGCCGCGATAATTTGTTCCCAAGCCCGTGAATTTTGTTCTTTTATTTCCACAATTAAACTATTGCCGTATTTGCTATTCAAGTAAATGGAATAATATGTGTGATATGTTGATAGATTTAAATTAAACTGTTTTTTTATTATAAGGTAAAATATTCATTTTTGTAAGCTAATTAAAGAATCTTAAAAGTATATACTATTTTATCATTTTGTGTTAATTAAATAAACAAAAATTTAAAACACGATAATAAATTAACAGCAAGTATAAATTTGCATGACTTCAAAAGAAGAAAGATGATTCCAGATAATTAGAAACCGGGTGATTGGAACTAACTGCAACTATGCAATCTGCTTAAAAAGACATTTTTTAAATGATTTTGTAAACAGACAAAATTGTTGTTACATTTATATCTGTTACGCATTTTTAGGAAAAGAAAATCTACTGTCTACTCTTTAGTTCGCCAAATTTTGCTCAGTATTAAAAAAAACTCTGCATTTTGTTGACATTCCTTAAATATAATTACAACTTTTGAAGACATTATTTTGAAGTAAGCTATCGAAATCAAAGCAGTATCGCGAGAGATACGAAGTGAAGGAGAAACACCTGAATTAATAAAATGAGTATTCAATAACAAAGTTAAAAACTTCAATATATTGGGTATTTAAAACTTCATTTTATTTAACTGAGTTTGTGTTTTCTAAACATTTTGAGCAATATGTTTCCCATTTTGATAAAATGCTTTGCCCGACGTACTAAAATTGATAACTGTTTGAAGTTCTGCTTTTAAATTGCCCTACAAACTTTTTCTACCAAGTCTGGTTACTTCGTGTTACTGAAGAATATAACTTCATGTTAATTTTCAGGACGGTGAATCAACACTGAAAAATGTGACTCTGTCCGTAAAACCTGGTGAACTCCTGGCTGTCGTCGGACCTGTTGGCTGTGGAAAAGTGAGTCACCAAATGAAACATCTCTTTTAAAAGATTATATATTGAAAATTCTTGTGAGATCTCTTTATATGATTAATTTAAAAAAATGTATGCATAGTGTTACGAATTTTGCATATGTGTAAATAAGTTTATTGATTTATTTCTTATATAATGTAACATGACAGGCATCAGAATGCTAAGCATCGCCGGAAGAATAAGGGTACAGAAATAAGTCCATTTAATATTGAGGCAAATGGCTTGTCGAGTTTAGCGCCTAGGTAGTGATAGTTTTAGGGACAGGTTTTTGCCACCAGATTTTCCAAGAAATTGCAAAAAGTCGCCAGGCTTGGCTAATATTTGATAAAGTTTCGATCTAACTCTTGTGTAACTGTAACTGGCCCGATACCTATGTAATTGTAAATGTGTCAGTCGCTATCTAACCGTATATACCTTCCAAAATTTTCGCAAAATTTATGGTACCTGAAATTTCTTGGCGTACAAGGAAAACTATATAAGGCCGGAGAAAGCATCGGTTTTCAGTTTAGCTCGGAGTATTGAGAGATCATCACCGTACGAGCTTACACATTTGAGGCTGTTTGCACTGCCTTGTGTGCCATTATTGGTAAAGATGAGAAGTTCTGTGCCTGCAAGATAATTGCAGAAGGTCTTGTATAGATTAGCTGGACACCCTTAGTGCTTGCTTGATAGCAGTCCACCACAGAGAGTCTTTAAGACTTCCTTTAGATCTTGGGAGATGACAGCTGAGTGCTGTTTCTTCTGTCAGTTGTTTTGAATTGCCGCTTAGAGTTCTGCTAGTGCATGGGTAGTGGATTTCCCTGCTCTGAATCCTATGTAATCTGAATTTCTATGTGGTCTTTTAGTCTACTGACGAGCAACCTCTCATAAAACTTCCCTAATGCAGAAAGTAAACAGATCGGCCGTAAAGAGGAGGAGACTGTCGGTTCTTTATTTTTCTTAGCAAAAAAGACAACTTGTCTAAATTTAAAAGCTTTTGGAAAGTGATGAAACGCTAGAAGTTTGTTAAAGTATACCCAAAAGAATGCTGTGTGAGAGAGAAATGTTATCTTGGTAATATTGTAGTCAAGACCGTCCGGTTCTGGAGCTCTTTCTTAGGAAGACAGTGGAAGGTGGCTTTTAATTCCTTATTAGTTAAGAGCACGTTGTCTGATATTGTTGGTTTTGAAGAGTCGTGTTGAATTCGAGATTGGGAATCTGTGTCGCTGAAAGCATCGTCTGTAGGAAAGATATCATCTATGATAGTGATGAAGATAGAAGATGTAGCACTTTCTGTGGCTGAGGAGATGAGCTGAATGCAAATTTGAGAAGGGGTGAAGACTTTGCTATCTTCTGCAGACTTCCGTAGGGTTCAGAGCTGGTTGTACAGCATTGCTGCCAGCTTCTGCATTTAGCAGACAGAATAATCCTCTTATACATTGCTCTTGGTTGTTGGAATTGCATTAGTCTTGGTTTTTTCTCCTCTGGTGGGCTGTTACGGATTTTCCGGCGAAGTACGCGGAAGCGTTGTCGCATTGTGCGTAACTTCTTCGTCCACCAATTAAGCTACGTAATAGGTTTTGTGCTCCTAGTCGGAAGAATTTCCTTGCAAGTAGTTTGGATGTCTCGTAGCAGCTGATCTGTGTATGTGTCCAAACATAATTATGGGTATAATCATGCAGCTCATTTAGTTTCGAGGCCAGTAGCAAATGAAGCTTACATTTTACTGCAGCTATTTTAGTTTTTCGCAATTTATAACGCCTGATGATGGAAATTTCCACAGAGCTGTTGATGGTAAAGGTCAATGTCGATGATGTCGATGGATACTTGCGGTCAGACGCACTCATGTCATCTTGTACTGTCCAGTTGTGTATGAGATTGGCGTCTGCCGGGGTGGAAAGGGTTAAATCTGGCCAATCTATCCTGTGGCAACTATCAAAAGTGGGAGGCGAGTTGGCTTGATTCAGGAGACAGAGGTTTTTGGAGATGTAATCTTCTAAGTCATTAGCCATTAGCGGGATATCTCCAAGATATGTTGTGGGCATTGAAGTCTCCACTTATAATTTTGAGCCCTGGTTGTGCTACGGTAGGATGTCTATGTCGGAGGCTATGTTGGAAATGCCTTCTGTAGGCGATAAGTAGATGGAGAAGAGAACGAGGTAGAGTTCCTTGCAATATGACAATCAATACAAGAGCCATTGTTACCATCATCCGAAAAGATCTGGCTCAGCGAATGGAAGGTAAACGAATCTGGACGCCACCTAAGACGCCGACACCGGTTATACAAACAACATTTGTGGAAAGATAAACGTTACATCACATCTGTAAATGCCGCCGTTGCATGTTCGGATTAGTCATTTACCTGAATGTTAAATGGACTTACCCCTGTAACCTTATTGCTATGAATTTTGTACATATGTTACCGTTAAAGACCGAAATTGGAGAATGTCGACTTTCACCGGAGAATGTCAACATTCACCAAATACGTCGGTGAAAGATTGAACATTGCACTACATTCTTGTACACTCGGACCCTCACCGGTGTATATGGACTATCACAGATATGCTCTGGTGTAGGTCGAAAAGAGAGGAGTATATGTATACGCTGCCATTTGCAAAAGGAAGTGTTCCACAAATAAATGCAGTTGTAAAAGCAAGGGCCTCTTGTGCAATTCAAAGTATCATAATAGTTTAAGTTGTTGCCATAAAAAAGATTTGAATCATTTAATTATGTTCTTAAGTTCTTATTTGTCTCAAGTACATTTTTCGCGACTGAATTACGAAGAAGAAAATATAATATTCTTATATGTTCAACATTCACCATTACTACATGTCGACATTTACCTGTGTAAGTCAGAAATAAGAATATTTGTGAAATATACCCCAAGCGACATACCCCAAGCGACTATGTGAATGTTGGCATTCACCGGTGAAAGTCGACATTCTCCAGATTTCGGTGTTTCACCGTAACATATATATAAATAATTTAATGAAATTATATGTGAAGTTGTAGTATCTTTTGTATTATATTACATGAAATGCTTGAAAAATCAAACCTTTGCTAGAAAAATAAGATTACAGGGGCATGTCTGTTTAATACTGAGATAAAATGCTATCTCGCTAAATTGGCGGTATTGACGTTTTTCAAAATATATCAGTGGCTTTCAGTATTTTTTGCTAATTGACATTTTACATGTTTATTTCAGACTTCTTTATTGATGTCTATATTGGGAGAACTCCCTATTGTTTCCGGAGAAGTTAAAGTTCGGGGAAAGGTGGCATACGCATCTCAAGAACCGTGGGTATTCGGAGGTAGCGTCAAACAAAACGTGATCTTCGGCAGCACTTTTGATGAGAACAGATACAAAACTGTTCTGACTGTCTGCGCCTTAGATAAGGTACGTGTCACTTCGTTTCCTATTCCCATCTTCATTCCAGTTAGAAGTAATTAATTTAAGTTTCTTAGAACCCATTTCATCCTATCAGTCGAAAGAATAAATGATCATTTGTGAACAGCTGACTCATTTGGGCTCAAAACCGTGCTTAGAATTAAATGCGTCTCGTCTTTTTTCGCCACTTCATTTTTATTCTTTTACTTTTTTCGGGCGGGGGAGGTTCCCAAGAGTTCGCATGTTCCATTCTTTTATTTGCTTGTTTATTTATTTTTATTTTTATAAACGTAATTTTTTTTATATATGAAGGAGAAAGGAGTCATGATAAATTTTAGATTTGTAATTTTGATAAATGCACATTTCATTCCAAATCTGAATGGAAGTTTATTGATGATTTTATGAACCTATCTTTGTTTATGCGGTTATTAAAATTCTGCGTGCACGTAGTAATTAACACATTGCTGATCATTGCTAGTCTATTAATAATTATTTTAACTTCAGTTGGTAAATTACATTTTCTCTATTTTCCTTAATCTGAAAAGTCTATTAGTTTTAATCAATGAATTTAATTCCAAATCATCCTTCAAAAACAAAAATAAAATTTTGTCCCATTATTTTTTAACTTTTTTATTTACTTTATTTGTTTGTTTATTTATTTATTCCCCCACCTATAGATTCGATTTTATTTTTCTCCTTATTGTTCTTCGTGCGATTTTTATTTCCTCGATTTTACTGAAAAGATGATACCACGATTAAAGATGAAAAGATGGTGATTATTCTGTATTCAGAGTTGTGAAACTGATCGAATCAGCTCAAAATTTCGCTTTTCTCAGCTTTTCTTCCATTTAAAACTATGACCCGGGTAGTATTCTTTAGGAAGTCGTAGAGCATTCCTAGGATACGATTTCCAATGTAAAATTGAGAGTTGCCTAGTTTTGTAAATATTTAATGATATTTGATTAGTATTAATAAAATGTGAATATTTATGTTACTTTAATTTGTAGGATATCGAACAATTTCCGTACGGAGATCAGACTGCGGTTGGTGAGAGAGGAGTCAGTTTAAGTGGTGGGCAGAAAGCTCGAGTTAATCTTGCGAGGTGAAACTTAAAATAATTTTATTTATTTATTTAAATAATTTTATCATTAAATAATAATTAAATAATTTTATCATTTTATTTATTTAAATAATTTATAGTTTTATTTATTATTATTTTTTAAATATTTCTACCATTTTGTTTATTTATTATTTTATTATTTAAAATAATTTTTATTTATTATTCTTACTTATTCTCCTTATTGTTATTATTTTAGTTATTTTATTTTTAAGTTTTGACTACATTTTAAATTAAATATTTTTTGTTTTGTTATTTTACTTGTAGAGCTATGTACTTCGATGCTGATATCTTTCTTTTGGATGACCCTTTGAGTGCAGTTGATTCATCAGTATCCAAACACCTTTTCGAAAAGTTTGTAACTTAAAAGTTTTCGGATTTCTTTTCCACTGTAGCATGAAACCAAACCACATTTTTTTTTTTTTTTTTTTTTTTTTTTTTTTTTTTTGTTGTCTGTCGCCATAGATTTTTGTAAATGTGTTAGATTTTACATTTTAATTAATTTTGCTTATTTATTTATCTTTTATTTTTATTTAATTTATTTAATAGCATTTATATTGGAACTCCATATATCCGACTAAGCTGAGATCACAGCCTATCTGGGTACTGAAAGAATAAACTAGATAATTGAGTTATCTCTTTCAGCAAATCAAATACATATAACTCTAAGCCAAATGAAGGAATTTTATTTTTTCGTTTATCGTGTTTTATTTTAATAGAAAATTATACAGCTAAAAAATGAATAAAATATTTTGATTGTCATTAAATAAAATGCTAAATCGTTTTTTAAAAAACAAAATTAAACAATACAGGAAATGTTCACTTGCCGAAATACGTTGAATTAATTTACATAGGCACGAAAGATTATGCGCGAAATAAAACGCATTACGTACATTTAGTCCACCGAAACTAAGCTATAAAAATTATTTTTTGAAGTAATAGTAACGATATGCCGGTACGCTTACTTTCTCAATAAATTTACATTATATTATCTTTTATATTATTTAAATAAATGAGAAATAATTAACTGGCTTAACTAATAAATCATACGCTTAATTTTAATTCGAAAAAAAAAAGTGATCCGAATGTCTGGAGTTTAGCTGCTCTTATGTTTCGCATTGAATATCATTAAATTAGTGGTTCTCAACCTTTTTTCCTCCGTGCACCCCTTTCACCATTGCTAGAAGATCATTCCCCTCCCTTCTTTTCCCAAATCTCACAAAAATACATATATATTAGGAAAATACATATAAGTTATTTTTTATTTATTTTTTATAAATTAAAGAACAAAAATGTAAATAAAATGTTGATAAATACCAAAACTTGAATAAAAGTAGTTTTTTATATTCGTAAACCAAAACTAAATACTTAGCAGCTAAATAAAACGCTGACCGTCTTGCCCAGCCTTCTTGAAAGTATGAAATGCCAGAGGAAAATTTAACCCCAGAGGGAAATTTACTACTGGTTGAGAACCCCTACATTAGATCTTGTTAAAGCCGCCTTATTTCTGTTTTAAAAATGGAATATTCTGCACAAAAATTTATTTTGGATGTCATTTGGGGCTCCAAATAAAAATTATTATTTTAATTATTTTAATCTAAAGTTAATTTCATGCAATATTAACTTTACCACTGATTTTATTATAAAATATTTGTAGCATTTATTATTTTAATTAACTAGTTATTTATAAATTTTCAGTCTTTACTATAATTTCCCAGAATGTAAATTGAGATGGAGAGCATTTAAGCTGAGGTTTTTAGATTGTAAGACAGAGCGTGTTTTTGCCTTTCGAGCACACGTTACTTTAGTTCTGCCATCTCGATTAAGTTCATAATTATTCGCCTTTGCGTATTTGCTGCCGCCTTTTAAATTGTTACACCGGTTCTAGTTTTGAGCCAACTTCGATTTGAATTTAATTGTGTAATCCTTGACTTCTAGTCTACGTTTTGAATTTGAATTTAACTGTTGCGTTAGCTTGATCGCCACAAGTGGTGGCTGATTTTGTGAGCACAAGACGTATATTTACTTCCAAGTTTGTGTTTAAATATAGCGTTTATTTTAAAATCTTTTCAAGACTTTGCAGCTGATTTCAGGCACAGCGATAATTCGATTTACGTCTGTTAGAGTTTGAAACTAGTTTACCAAAAGATAGTCAAACTGTATATGTTTATTACTTTTCAATACTGTACTGTGTAATTCTTTGTATATAAGCAGTTATAACAAAAGGTTTCCTATCATTGCATAATACGGTAACTGCAATACGAAATTTTTATGACAGGTGCATCAATGGTTATCTAAAGGACAAAGTGAGGATTCTGGCTACCCATCAAATCCAGTTTCTAAAAGGTGCTTCCCAAATTCTCGTCTTAAAAGAGGTAAGAAAATGAGATAAGCAAACTACAGACTTTATGTTCCTCTTTCCCAGACGCTTCTTTATCTCTAACGAACTTGCGCCCTCAGAAAACTTAAGTCGGATTTAAAACTTATAATAGCACAATCAATAAAGCACAATATAACGAAAATCTTTATGTGATCAACCTGTTGCCACAAAGACTAAAAATCTGAAAAATTAAATTTATTTCAGATCTCGCAAATTTGACAGTATTTACTAACTGTTCACAATGACAAAAGTACCAACTTTGCTTTTTTATCACATCTTCTTGTATCCTAGTAGATCACGTAATCGTCTGGTTTTTAACTTTTATTCTCTTACCCAACAATTATTATTGAATTGATGAAAATGTACAAATTCCATTTCCGCAGCACTAGAGATTTTAGCATAATTTTATTGGATCTGTCAGTTTTGATCTGTGTATTTCTAAAACATTTTCTGAAGATTCGAGCAATGTTTAATCGGTTAAATTTGTATTTAATTTTGTTTTACATCTCTATGTAGTACATTATTGAGTTTATCCGCATAATATGTATATTAATTATTAATTTTATTTTCATGGTATTAATAAGTACTTTGATAAATAACAGCTTTCCTTCCTAATTCAGTATTTTCTCAATATCAGAGTGTTAGAAAATTACAAAGAGAAATTAGCTAAAAAATATAAAATTCTGAATATTTAATTTAAAATTGATATATTTTGTATCCAAATCATGTTATAAATAGTTTATTAACCTTATTTTATTAACCTGCAGAAATTATTAACCGCATTCTAAAGTGAATTTAAGTCAATTTGGAGTTTTTTCGAAATGGTATCGCTACGCAGCTCGCAAACCTGCAGAAAGTCTCGGTTTTCATAGTTTTAGGTTGGCAACTATGCAGTTACAGAAGAAAGACCATCCATTATCTCAGCTCTCATTATTCTTACCAAAAATAGGTTAAAATTTCTTAACTTCAGTTTGAGTGAACTAAGCCAGAGAAAGAGGTTAATAAAGTACGCTAATTTTCACTTAATGTTAATTTATAACTTCAGTGGCCCCCTTTTAGTTCTAACTCAAACTATGATAATAAGGAGACACTATGATAGTTTTTCTACATAAAGTTAACTACATTAACTGCAATAATGATGATTTACGTTGTAATGTTCCAACCTAGAATTTACAGCTAAATGTGTGGAACTTTGAGAACCAGTAAGCGAATAGTCGCTTTAGTTCAGTAGATAGACACATAAACTTGAGAAGGGTTAATTACCCTTTATTACTGAAAATAAAGTTCGGTTAATAAAGTTCGGGTTAATTACCCTTTATTACTGAAAATAAAGTTCGTGGATGGCCCTTTCTCAGGACGTACATAAAAGCTTCCACTTTCGCTTGAACTCAAGAATACTAAGAAATAAAACTTAACTAATGCTTAACTAAAAAGATGTAGCCGAAGCTATCAAAATTCTAAAGGAGTTGGTCCTTTAAATGCTAATTAAATGGCGAAGCTATCAAGGGCCTGAAATACGGCCGAGCATAAATAGCTAGAAAGAGTAGCCAAAAGGCGAATGCGCGCTAAGTCAGAATCTCTGACTCTCTAAAGAAGTCAGTGGAACTGCGATTTTAAGTACTGTTCTTCCTTCATTTGCATTTAACCGCGATTCTGAAAACACATTCTGGTAGGAAATTGTAAGCTTAAATTAGAAAAGATACGAAAGTGGCTTTAACTTAAAATAACAGTTAGCAAATTAGGGTAAACCTTACAACGTAAAAGAATCGTATTTCAAGTTTTTTTCATGTATTCTAAGCCAATTTATATTGTTAATGAAGAGTGACGTATTTTGCTAATAGGGCAACGTAACTAAAATAATAACTGTTATCTTTACGTATAAAAAAAGGAAGAGTCTGTATGTGTGTGTCTCTTTCGTTTGTGCTGCGAGGCTAATAGATCCAGGGCTACGAAATTCGGTACATCTAGACAAGAGCCAATGCACCTCGAAGCGATTTCTTCAAAATTCGAATGAGTTTTTTTATTATTTTATGTTTTTTGATGAAATCGCATCAAAATGATATCAGGCAGCAACAATGGCACGCAGCCATTTGTTGCTGATATATCACTGTTGCCATTATGTTGCCACTCGAAAAAATAAGGGCGATAATTCTGTGTAGTTTTTTAATTTAATGTTTCTCTTGGATACTGGACTTTTGTCGAGAGGTACTTGGATACGACATTTGTCGAGAGGACGTTTGTTTTCCGGTACATTTAAAAGCCAGATAAAGGCTGGCCGCATAGCGGCTAGCTAAAAATAAAATAAAACCCTTCTACTTGGAAACTAAATTTTCATATTTTTCTTTCAAACTTATTGGCAAGTAACCTTTACAAATAAACTGTATTTGTAATGCGTTACTAGAAGCCGAATGAGAAGGCAGATAAAAATAAAACAAAACCTTTCTATTTGGAAACAAAAATTTCATATTTTCTTTCAAAAATGTTGTCAGATAACCTTTACAGATAAACTATAATACATTGCGTTGCCAAAAGCCGAATGAGAAAACTCATTTTGTTTTATTTTCAGTACAACAGTAATATTTTAAAATCATCATTTTCTTCGTTATTTAATATATTCGAATGTCTTCTTTCACTAATTTCTTCACATCTTCAATTATATCTTAACTCGGAAGTAAACATTCTGTTAGGGAGTTTCAGTTTTCCAAATCATATGATTTTCATATAACTTTGCTTACGCTCCAAGTCTCGGTGATGTAAAAGATATATTTCAAGACGATTGGATAATATTTAGGGATTGCACACATTGATCAATGAAATTTCCAACACTGCTTTGTACTAATGTACTACAGCATCTAATAACGGGACTTATCCAAGGGGCATGTACTAGAAGTGAAAGGGAATTCGGACGAACAATTGATATAGTTGTCTTGCCATCATTACACGCATGAACTAATATTGAAAGGAATGTTTTAGGGGTGTTGTGGCATACCATGACATCCAGAGATTTTGAAAGTTCCAAAGTCTATGGTCTTTACTTGATAAGAAGTCATATATAACAATGCTGGATGAAGAAAGTCCCGTTCAAGTCTTTCTCGAAGAACAACGAGTGAAAATGATTAACTACATCCAAAATGACCTAAAAGACGGAAATCATCCAACGGAAAACTACAAAAAGTAACTACAATTCTCATTCCTGTACCTAAGATGTTATCCTCAAAAAGACTTCAGTTTCAGCATTCCAGGGGCTCTGTGTCAAGCAAGCTGTATGGCAAAGTCATGCAAACTGAATGTTCCTTAACGAGAATTGAAAAGTGTTGTTCAGAGACCAATATTTAGAGTAAAGAAGCCATCGATTTAGGACAACACACTTTATTTACACGTATAATGAATAAAAGGATCACACAGGAAATCGTATTCACCATCACACAGCAAGTAAAATCTCACCATCTCCCTACGCTCGAAGCTCGAATGACGGATGTGTCGGTAGAAGAGACAGCTGCGCCATCATAATTAATACGCATGCGTATAAGAAAAAACGTTCGCTCTCCTCTACCCAACACACCCCTCATGCGAGCAACATTTTTTCAATACAAAAATGAAATACAAACAATATATAACACATTACATTAAGAAATTAAGGAAATTACTTTCAATGGTTACATTAATTTTTTCTTCACTGGACTCTTAGAAAATCTGCAATTTCATATTATCAGGTTTGTGAATATTCCAACTTAATAACATTGTTCTTTGTTAAGTCCTTCATCATAAATGGAAAACGTAAGTTCATGTGTTCGGGATTTCGTAGAAGATCTTGCACAGTTGATCCACTGGATGGCAGCTTGACTGTCTGTATTCAAGACCACTGCACCATTAAAAAAATTGTTTACATTTTAATTCTGATAATAAAATTTACAGTTCAAAAAATAATATCCTTACAAATTTCAGAAATAGAAAAATAATTCTGCTTCACAAGTAGACAGACTAACACTTCTCTGCTTATGACATTTCCAATAAATCAATGAATCACCTAGTAAAATAGTACCACCAGAAAATGACTTACCATTTTCTGCATTTTCCCCAGCTAGCATCAGCATATGCATTTAAAACTCCAAAATCATTGCTATAGAAAAAGTTTTTTATTTTTTGTACCTTTTTTAAATACCTTAATACCCTTTTAGCCAAAAGATAATGCCTTTTTTCTGGTACATGATTAAATTGTGACAAATAAGTTGTTACAAATGATATATCAGAACGCGTTCTATTCGCTAAAATATAAAAGTTCCCCAATTAATTCCTGATACAAAATTGCTTCAATTTTTTCATTTGTACATGAAAAAACCTTTATCTGCCCCTTTAAACGATTGACGTCGTTTTTACTGCTTTAGAATTTTGCAGATTGTGTTTAGTCAATAAAGATTCAATATATTCTGTTGGAGACACAAACATATACCATTTTCAAGTTTTTTCTATTTGCATTCCTAAAAATTTTTAATTAGTATTTTCATGTAACTCAAATACATTTTTTAATTTAGAAACAATATTTTCAAGCATTTCCTTATTATTACAGAATACAGCTAAATCATCAACATACAAACACAATATAAAAATGTTTTTGGTATCATTATAAATGAATATACAATTATCAGATGCTAACTGTACCAGCCCAAGTTTTTCTAATTCATTTTTTATTTTCATATACCAATTTCTACCGGATTGAGGCAACCCATAAATACTTTTCTTCAATTTACATACTTTACCTTCTCCAATCAGTTTTTCATAACAAGGTGGAGGAGTCATATACACATCCTCGTTTAAGTCACTGTACAAGTACATCATAAAATTTAACAGTCAAGTTTAATTTAGCTGAAAGTGCAAGCAATAATCTAAAATATTCAATGTTAACTACTGGTGAATATGATTCGGTGTAATCCTTATTTTTTATTTGATTAAACCCAGCCGCTAATAAACGCGCTTTATATTTTACTTCCCCAGAGTCTCCTTCCTTCAAAGTATACACCCACTTACTTTTTACTAATTTTGTTTTTTCAGGCCTCTCTACTATTTCCCACACTTCGTGTTTATGTAATGAATCTATTTCATTTTCCATTGTGGATTTCCAGTCATACCAATTAGCACTTTGCTTCTGAAAAACCATTCGAAACATTACTGATTATACTTGACGGTAGTTGTTTTGATTTGAGCCTCTCGGATCGTCTTAATGGTATTTCATTTCCATATTTATTACCTTTTTCATAGCTATCAGATGTCATCACCCCTGCTACAACGGCTTATGTCGGCGATTTCGAAATTCGATGAGTCATCGTATTCGCTTGCTTGGGTATTTTCCGTAACAACCAATTCGAGGTGTGGTTTTTGATCTACTTCGTTTCCCTTCCTTTTAATTCTTCAATATCCTAAGTTTCTAAGGTTTTATTTTTTCCCATATAATTACTACCCTTTAAAGATTCATTAAATTTAACTGATCGTTCTTCAATTATTTTATTACTTGCTATATCATAAATACGATATCCTTTTCTTTCTCTAGCATATCCTAACATTATCCCTCTTTTCCCTGGTATGTCAAATTTGTTTCGCATCACTTTCGGAATGTGAAAGTATGCCACACATCCAAACCTTTTTAGATCCTTTGTTGGGTTTTTTACCAACAAAGGTTAATTTGGGTTTTTTACCAGTCCAAATTTCTAAAGGAATTTTTTCTTTTCCTTTCCGGGGTGTTAAATTTGATACTTGAGTACTAAAATTAATTGCTTCTGCCCAGAATTATACCGGAAGCTCACTCTCATGTAGTAATGTCCTAGCTCTTTCTAAAAGAATTCTGTTTGCCCGTTCAGCTTTCCCATTACTCTCACTGTTATATGGGATTGTTTTTTCATGAAAAATACCCGAATCAACAAGATAATTATCTAATTGTTGATTTACAAATTCTAAACCATTGTCTGTTCTCAAACGTTTAATTCTTTTACCAGTTAAATTTTCATACTTAGCTTTAAATTTACAAAATGAGTCAAACACTTCACTTTCTACTTTTAAGAAAATAAGTAAAATTACATTCCAGAAAAATCATCCACTAAGATCATAAAATATTTAGATCTACCAATTGATTCAGTTTGAACAGGGCCACATAAGATCCGAATGAATTAATTCTAAAATTTCTGTACTTGATTAATGTCAATATTTGGATGACTTTTTTCTAGTTATTTTACTTATGTCACAAGTTTCACACTTAAAATCACTTACATCATTAATATCAATGTATTCTTTCATTTTAAGCATATATTTTGGATTTAAATGGCACAATCTACTATGCCAAAGTTCATAATTATTACCAGTACAATCATTAGCAATGCAAGATTCAGAATTATAATATGGTTCTAAATTAACTTCAAGGCCTACCGTTATTCTTAAATGCGTTAAAAAGTAATTCATTACACCTACTAAAAACTAATACAGAATTATTCCTTGATTCAATTTTACATCCTTTATCCATTAAGGCAGTGAGTGACAATAAGTTATTTCTTAAATCAGGAATATAACTAACATTACTAATAGTTAAATTAATAAAACTAGAATTCTTTGTACTTATAGCTTTTGCTTTAACAGTACCAATACCTTCTGAATATATTTTTGAGTGTTTACCTGCCTGGTAAATTTCCCTCACCTCTGGTGTAATATTCTGAAACCAAAAGAAGTCTTTTGCCAAGTGTCCGGTTGCACCACTATCCAGCAACCAAATTTTATCACATTCATCATTTTTTTCACGCGTAAGTTGAAGAGCAAAATCACTTTCTCTTTCATCAGAACGAGATGAAACGTTCACACTCGTAGATTGCGACTTCTTTCTGTCCTTGTTACCTTTGGATAACTCACATTTTGAATTCTTGTTTCTGTAATAGCAGTCCTTCGCGATGTGACCAGGTCGTCGGCAAATGCAACAAATTCTTGGCTTATAAGTTTTTATTCCTTCTTGATATGAACGCCTCTGCGTTGGTTCCATCAGGTTCGTTTCCCATTCGTTGAATTGTGAACGGACTCTTCCTCACGAGAGTATTTTCGAGTACTTCATCAATTGTTTTTTCACGCTGAGTTTTTACAATTTCTCTAATTCGAGAGAATTTTCCACAAAGTCCACGGACTGTGTGTAAAACACCAGCTTCCGAGGAGATACATCTAGTCCTAGCGATTGGACACTTAGTTGCTATTTCCTCTCGCTCTTGCGATATAATCATTAGCCGACTCATGCAACTTTCATTTCTAAATTTTTTAACTCATTACCAGCATCTATTTTCGATCTTCGGCTTGTCCCGTAAATGTTGACTTTATTTTTTTCCCAAAGAATTTTTTGCATTCTCTTCTGTGGAGAACTGAAGCGGCCTGTTTGATCCGATAGTGAAAAGTTTATATATGCTACGGCGTCAGCGTTTTCAGCGTTTTCTCATTCCACAATCTTTCATCTTTCTCGTCTAAATTTTCTGGTTTTACTGTTGAAATTATCGAGTCAAGTCTTTTCAGTGATAAGGCAGCTTTAATTTTCAATCACCAAAATAACATAGTTCTCTCCAGTTAATTCGGGAACGTTCCACTTCTCCATTCTTAGCTTCCACTGAGACACTTTTGGTTTCGACTTGGTATTTTATATCCAATTCTTCTGGACAAAACCACGGAGCTGCTACCATTTGTTGTTCAGAGGCCAATATTTAGAGTAAAGAAGCCATCGATTTAGGACAACACACTTTATTTACACGTATAATGAATAAAAGGATCACACAGGAAATCGTATTCACCATCACACAGCAAGTAACATCTCACCATCTCCCTACGCTCGAAGCTCGAATGACGGATGTGTCGGTAGAAGAGACAGCTGCGCCATCATAATTAATACGCATGCGTATAAGAAAAAACATTCGCTCGCCTCTACCCAACAAAAAGAATGAAACAGGCTACAAATTTTGTCAGCCTCATATATGCATGCTTTTGGCACGAAGCAATTTTAAGTTGATGGCACGAAGCAATTTTAAGTTTACTCAGATACAGATGTTAGAAAAGTGCTTTCACAGTTGCTAAGAGACAGCTTTAGTATCTGTCAGAAACAAACGTAAGACTTTTGAACGAAAGCTCATAAGAAATGAAACACCCTACATTCTATGGATATTTATCCCAGTTCGCTATGTTTTTAATTCTGTGTTCTCTTCTAGGGACGTTGTTTGGCTTTAGGCACTTACGATCAATTGACTGAAGCTGGAGTAGATCTAGGGTCCTTAATGGAAGATTACGAACAGGAACGTCGTCAGCGTTTAGCCTCCATGACCTCGACTGCTAGTAGTATTTCAATGGTTGATGAGCTGACAGATGGCACCACTCCCATACCTATGTACGAATCCACACTTTCCATAAGTTCTTCTGTAGGGGAAGACTACGATGAGGTAAGTTTATACTGAAATATATATCAGATATCTCAAGCAGAAAACAATATACTTTTAAATATATTCAATAACTAGCAGATTCCTTCCGAAAAGATTTTCATTTTTGAGAGTGGTTAAGCAAGTTGTATAGTCCAGATCCAAATCCTCTATTAACACTGTCTTAATCTCAACAGAGGCAACATTGCACCATCTGAAATCTCAACAGAGGCAACATTGCACCATCTTAAATCTCAACAGAGAAGTCATTAAAAATATGAAACTTTGCTATGAGATTAGTTTACACCGATGTGACAGTAGTGTTTTCCTGTCTTCCATGTAACGTATCATAATTTGCTAATACAATAGAATCATAATCATTCGATGTTTCCGTATCCTTCGTAACGTTCAGACCAAATCGCATTATCTTATGTGAACTTGGAAGTTCTAATACATAGTTATACACACAAGTTTTATCTTTGTTGTTACTATGACTGATCTCGCTTGTCTGATAGCAGATCAAGCAAACGAAATTCTTCAAGAAGGCTAGATTTTGGCTCTTGTTTGTAAGACACTTGGGAAACCCATAGGTGGCAGCACGACTTTGCTCAATTCCACCCTCCAATTTTGAAGGAGAGCACACCAAGGGGACGAGTTCACCTATCACCAAAACCCATGGAGGTAAGGCTTCCTACCTCCATGCCAGAACCTCTCGAAAGGACTTTCGGCTTGTCGCATATTTAGAGCGCGTCCAGGCCGTATACATTTACAAACACCGATGCTTTCTCCGGAATTCGAATCCGGGCGCTTCGGTACGGCAGTGAACGTCGCTAACCACTAATCCGGTTGGGCGGAACAAGTTTTGTCTGTCTTATAGATGATGTACCAAAGAAACACATAAATGTGAGCACTTCTTACTTTCATGCAACAATAAATTGATCAATGTGCAAAAGTAGGATGGGAAGTGATATTGTGCGGTATAAAATACCGAATATTTTATATTCATAACATTTTTAACTTCGAGATGGCTTCTACCGTCCAGTTCATTTGAGTTTTCAATTAATAAATGAAATTAGTTGAAAACTATTGTATTTTTTTTATAGTAATAGCGGTCTCTCGGGAATAGCGTCGGTTAAAATTATATCGGATTATAGAGATTATATCGGATAATAGAGATTAATAAAACTATACTTTTTATTGTGTCTAATGTGAAATAAATCTTATTTAGATAGAAGGGGAAAAAATGAAAGATAAAGCCCCTAAAGCGACTGAAGAAATAAAATCTACTGGATCCGTGAAATTCAAAGTATACAAAGAATACGTGAAATCTGGAGCTGGACTCTTTCACCGTCTTCTGCTGTTGATATCATACATCGCCACTCAAGCACTCTTCAATGGCAGTGATTTCTGGCTTACTGCTTGGTACGTGATAAAATATCACTATTAAAACTTTTTTCGTGTTGGATTTCTGATGCCCTCTGGTCATAATTAAAACGTAGAATTTTCAGTTGTGAAGTGGTGAATGAAATTATCTTAATAATATCTACATGTTATTGACCAGTTATGCGTAATGTAAATTTGATTACCATTACTTAAAAATCGATTCATTAATATTTGTCTATCTTAAATTTTTAGCATAGTTTAAACCATGATATTATTTTAAAAAGTAATCTTTTTAATGACTGCAGAATCTGCAGACGTATTTTTAGAATTAAATAACTCATTCTCATTAAAAAATTATAAAAATTTCTCTCTGAAGGAGTGAATTTCGAAATAATCAATAAGTGGCTCAGTGTCAGTAATCTTTTAAGTGTAAAGTTATGAGAAAAATATTAAAATTTTTATTAGTGCAAAATCATATTAAAATAATCATTCGATAAGTTTTATTTCGTTATGTTCTATATCGTGATATATTTTTGTATAACGTTATTGACAGAAGCAATTGTTTGAGAATAAAGTTCTTCTAAAATGTGCAAGTACTATCTCTAAAATCTGAAATGTAATAAAACTAATTATTCATCTTTTATGCATTATATATGAATTTTAAACAACCGATGTGATCTGTGTTTTTTATTTTTTAATTGAATTAGTAGATTGATTATTAATTAGGGCTGAAAATTTATAATAAATACAGATGGAATGAACACATAGCAATCGGGAATTCTTAAAATGAATAAATGTTAAATAAAACCATCATATAGGACATAAAATGAGAGTTTATTACACATGCGTGTGAAATGAAAATTCTTTTATAATTCGAAACATTTTTTGGTAATATTCTCTTTAGACTAGAAGAGAAACACGCTAATGTGACAATCAAAATCATAAAAACAACCTTGTATTTAGCGTAAGTATATTGAAACACTCAATCGATTTCGAGGGCAGCTAAAGGTCCCTCCTCATCAGGAGAAAGAAATACCTAGAAACAAGAAAAATAAAGGGGAAGGAGTCTCAGAAACACGTGGTCCTTATCAGCACTGCACGTGGTTAACCGGATTTTTAATCAGAGTAACACTGGCCGCCTACTTTTACTGAGCCAGGCTATCTGATCAAATATGTAACACAAAGGACAAGAAAAATTAGCGAAGTTAAAAATAGGGAGCGAGGGGCAACTGCACCTTCACGCTCAAAATCTGAACTTCGAATAATGGAAAGCAACCACTGAACGGAATGTTTAGCATGTTTAGTTAATGATTTGAAGTCCAATCCAGTCCTTCCTAATGCCTTTAAAATTCTACTATCTTAATTCAGTTATTTTTGCCGATAGATGGCGTTACCTCCTCGCGTTTGGTACTACCAGAGCGTATAAAAATCCGTTCAGTGGTTGGGAACACATCAAGCAGAATGCTTGATAATCTCGGCATAAGCGTAACTTGGAACTTGGCTTTCCATTATTCGAAGTTCAAATTTTGAGCGTGAAGGGGCAGTTGCCCCTCGCTCCCTATTTTTAACTTCGCTAATTTTTCTTGTCCTTTGTGTTACATATTTGATCAGATAGCCTGGCTCAGTAAAAGTAGGCGGCCAGTGTTACTCTGATTAAAAATCCGGTTAACCACGTGCAGTGCTGATAAGGACCACGTGTTTCTGAGACTCCTTCCCCTTTATTTTTCTTCTTTCTAGGTATTTCTTTCTCCTGATGAGGAGGGACCTTTAGCTGCCCTCGAAATCGATTGAGTGTTTCAATATACTTACGCTAAATACAAGGTTGTTTTTATGATTTTGAATACTCTGTTTGTCTGTTTTTTTATTAGAATTTAAAAGATCTGTAAACGAAAACCAGTGTGCACAATTTTTCTTTGTTACCTCATTGTTTACTTTTCTTCTAGGACAAATCAAGAACAAAGAAAATACAATATAAAAGATTGTTGGGCTAATGCAAATAAAACTTTTCTCAACGAAACTGGCTACTATAACGATACTTATGGCATACTGGATCGGGATTTGTTCAGGTTAACTATTGCCAATGTCAGCGATGATTGTTTCGAACTCACCCAAAATTATCTTGAAGACCTAAGGGATGCTACAGAGAAAGTCGATATGCACAAGAATCTGTACGTGTACGCCGGTCTTGTCCTCACCGTATTTCTGCTTTCACTGGTGAGAACAACTTCTTTTTTTCAGATGTGTATGAAAGCGTCTATTACATTGCACAACAAAATGTTCCGATGCGTTCTCAGATCGCCGGTTTCATTCTTCGACAGTAATCCAGTAGGTGAGTGAAATGTGAATATTTTAATTGCTTCTAAAAGTGACTTTAAGAAGAAATTATGGTATTTTGTAGAGAAAAATATCGATTTCTGTTTTCTTGATTATACTGCATTAGAATACGATAACTTACAAATTTAATTCCGCAAAGAAACGTGTTTTCAAAATCTTCTTATCTATTTAACGATTTTAGCGTTATCGGGTTTCTTGGTGAGCTACTGTTAATTTTTTTGCTCGTGTCGGGAAATTTCACTTTAACTGACAGATGGAAATATATTTGCGGAAGTATCTTGTTTATTAGGCGATGGGAGGCAAGTGACTATATGCAAATAACAATTTTGAATGAATAATTGTGGTAAATTTGGTTTTCACCTACTGTATTATATTACTCATTTCATTGTATTAGATGATGAGTAGGTCCTGGTAGAACTGGCAAATAGGCCTTGTGTAACTCAAGAGTGCATCTATTGCTTGGTCAGATGATAGTGAGCTCTAGTGGTGAATAAGCAATAGTGGTGGTAGTAAGATATTAGCACTAGTGGGGGCGGCAGTACGACTTTTTCCATCTTCAACCTTGTTTGCATCCAGAATATTCTTAGGGCGATAGAATCTGAGGATATTTCATTCTTATTTTTCTATCATTAACCTATATATACTATATCTAAATATGCCCATCCTCAAAAACACTGCTATCATAAACTGTCTTGCCCGAAATTTGAACTCGATCATATTTCTGTGATAGCCAACCTGGCCAATTTGATGATAATGAGAGATAGCATTTTTCTTAGCATGTGTTTCCAACATCATCGCGAAATACCTCGGAAATGGAGAAATTCCTGAGGTCTGCACGTCCTGCGCTTTGCTACGATATTTACGGTTGGAAAGGTTTTACTCTTAACTAATGATCTGTGCTGGCTGCAGATACCTGAAAATGGTATCCAAATTATATCGAAGTTTTGGCATCTGTGAGAATGACTCTAGAATACTATTAACATTAAGTAAGACTTCTCACAGTACTGCTGGCATATACGACCAATAAACGTTCGTACAACCAAAATAACGTGCTTCAGTATATTGAAACTGCGCAATACCATGTACTGCGTAACTTCGTTATATGTCTTATGTAAATGTATTGTAAATTTTTTATAACTCTGTTACTTGAAGCATCTGCAGAATATAACGATCATTCAGTTATCAGTTAGCATTAAAAACTGTAATTAGTTGAATTAAATGAAGAAGTAAGTTGGTTTTATACACACACACACATATATATATATATAATTTTATTTATTTATTTTTTAATTTTAGTATATATAATATGCCACATCTTTATGGCACTATTTAGAGATTTGATCTTTTGAAATGAAATGATATTTATTGTCATAAAATACTTTATCCTATTCTTCAGCAACATAGTATATCAGTGTGATATTAACCATTATATTAAACGATAATTTTCATAAAGTAGAACTTATACTTCTCCAAAATAAAGTGCTTTCTTTAGCTATCATATTCTGAAAATAATTTAAATTCATTACCTCATTAATTTTAAGCCATAACGAAAAATACAAAGCTCAAAGCTAACTAAATTTTCTCTTTTATATAACTGTTATGTTATGTTAAAATACTGTTTTTTTTCTTTTTTAAATTAATGAAATATATCTGACTTTAAAAGCTAATTATTTCTTCTTTTAAATACCAATTTATTTTAAATAAGAATGAAAGAATTCGTTAGCGGTTATTTTAATATTTTATAGGAGCAACAACTAGAAGTTATATTCCCAGCTTTTCTAATAGAAATATTTAAAATCAGTTTAGCGTTAAGTATAGCTTTAAGTTCAAAATTCGAAGTCTTAATTCTTTATCAATGTATTGTGTTTTATCTAAACATTTGATGCTATAGTAACTAATCTATGAATGATGCACCATCAGGACGAATTCTGAACCGGTTTGCGAAGGATGCAGGTGTCGTCGATGAAACATTACCTATGGCATCTCTTGACGCGGTTACAGTGAGTAAATCGTTTACCCCCGCAAAAAAAAATTGAAAATAACAATTGCATGAAACCTCTTCTGCATGAAACTGGTCTATTGCTTTTGCTTGTCTGAGGTATCAAGCTATCTAATATTTTGCTGTGCTTCGCTATTTCGAAACTTTTTCCTCCAAACTGCATTGCTAATTAATGTCTTTTACTTGTTTTGTTTGTTATTTGTATCCTTTTGTAATGTGAAATAACTTAACCTTACCATCTAACGGATATCCATAGAATTTGCTTGAACACTTGGCAAGTTACTGCAATCGACATTGTTTAACTCGAATGTAAAACAAGACCAGGAATTTGTTAAATTTTTTGGTGGGTTTCGCAAAACTTAAAATGAATTAAAATGGTAACGTAAATTAAAATGAACTTTTCTCTTCCAACGCTTATAAATGTAGGGGAATGGCTTTATTTCTAAGATTCCAAATATTTACAGTAATAGCCTAAATCTCAAACCTGCAACACCTAAAATCGCATCTAATAGAACTGTCTTCTTAAGCAGCTTACTAAGCAGCGAATCCATCTTACTATCTCCTTCACAGTTACTGCAATAGACTTACGTAAGCAGGACTTCAGAAAAATGGTGCAAGTGCCACTAAGCTCACGATTTAGATTAACATTTTACTTTTAAACTATGCCACTTCGTTTGTAGAAACTTCTGTTCTGAGCAAGTATCCTGACAAGCCAGAAAGAAGCAGGATATAATTTAACATCAAACTAACATTTTGTAAACTTAAGCGTAAGTGTCATAGCTAGCTCAAAAAATTTCTTTTACAATCATGTTTATAACTGATAAAGAATCTAAAATCTGTAGAAGGAAGGCTATTTTTCACATTTGTGACTTTTATCAGAATTTTAATGAAGCATTAAAGATCTATTACAAAAATATTCACCATAGAAATAGAAGGCATTTTTATTTTAGCTAAACATTGAGATTAATAAAGTAAAATAAAAATTTTATTGAAATATAACCGTAAGACGATCAGTTAATTTTCAGCAGCTACCATTCATAGGTTAAACCCTGTAGTATAACTTTTTATACATTTTCCTTGAAGACATTACCATCCACTGCTGTTTTCATTTTGTTCAATATTATACAATAATAATGCAAACAAATTTAAGTAATCCACGTTTCTAATCCCAAGTAATGAACATGTACAAAATTATCTGCATTACAGAAATATGATTATGTTTCCAATGTTTCAAGTGCAAATGCCAAATCATGTAGCGATAGTGATAAAGATAAAATTAAAATTGTGAATGTTATTAAATTCAAAACGTTTTCAGCTTTCTACTTGTCAGGCACTATCAAGAACACTTAGATCTAAAAGTAAATATGTATCTTGTTAGGTATTGCAACAGGTTATTAAGCGCACAACAAATCCAAAATTTAATTCCTAAGCTGTTGCACCTTATGTAAACAACTTGCTAGATTGCCAGCCAGTTTGTTCCCATGTTTTTTCTTTGGTTCTCAAAGAAATTATTATATATCTTATGGCATGCTAAAACAAAGTACATTTTACGTAAGAACTATCCAAATATCGTACAGTATTCCCAAAGAATAGCATATTTATGAAGTTTAGACACAATGAATAAACAATCAGCTGTTGTAACCACTGCATATGATATTAATTTGCTATCGAACAATAAAAGAAGTGTCATAAAATCTAAAAACGATTTTTAATATAGTTTAATAAAGTGGATTTTTTAACAATTCAGGATGATGAAAGAATGGAAGAAATATTTTTTTTAATGTGTTTAAACTCATTCAAAAATTATTTAGGAAATAAAAATATTAAATCAAAGTGATCAGACGTAAAGCAAATACAAATAATAAAAGTCATTTGTGGAATTCATATTACGTAACTCATCTAAATAAAATATACGCAACAAATGTATTTCGTGGCGTGAATGTATTCCATACTGCAGGCAAAAAAATTAGAAATGCGGCAAATATATTTCATATTGCAGACGAAATAATTCTGTAATCGTCAACTTACTAATATCGTAACATATTTTTATACTTACTCTAATTTTATTTTCATAATAAAATCAAAATATTTTTTTCTTTAATCCGAATTATATTTCAAAATTATGAAGTACTCATATTATTGTGCACTTAATTGTTTATGTTTGCATTGTTTGTTAATGTCATTATTATTTGTGTGTATTTTGCTGAAACTTTGTAGGTTTAGTTATGTTGCTATGGTTTCGGGGGCTTTAATTTTAATGCTCATTCAGAAAAGCCATTTCTATTATTTTCGAGTTTCTTGGAAGTCCCCTCCCATTTGCATTACCAATTATTGGGAACTTTTTTATTCTGGTGTTGGCATCTCTTTACTTTGACATCTCTTTACCAATAGAACATTTAGCACTTCAATTTCAAATGCCACAGTGTTCACAGTTATTCAACCACTTTCACACAGTCATTCACAAGACAGCATATTTCAAATTTATTAGATGTATGCATTGAGAATTCATTTAGCGTCTGATGTCTAATAATAGTAACTTCGAAGACAATTTTCGAAAACTTACATGGCTGCTATAGCAACGGCACTAAATGTATTTAACATAAAGTTCCATGGCAATGATTAATATCAATCCACAGTTTTGAACGAAAAATATTTTTTAATTACGAGAAAATCTTTAAAATGTTTTCTGAAAACATTCGAACACTTCAGTTCAACTGAAGCCTTCTAGATTTTCCGCTCCGTTAAATAATTGCATAAATACTTAATTCACTGTAATCTTCATTTAATTCGGAAAGTTTACTCAAACGTAAAGTTATTAACGTATAGATAAATACTTACTTAACGTATAGATAAATACTTAATTCACTGGAATATTCATTTAATTCTGAAAGTTTACACATAACGTAAGGTTTTTTAATGCATAATTTTTTCATAGATTTGTTTCAGTAAGCATTCTTAGTGAAAGAATGTGCTATTTGGGTGCTTTTGATGTACAGACATTAAAACTTGTCTATAGTCTGTTTTATTTTTTCCCTTCCATTTTGCTGTGCGATTTGCTAGCATTCTAACATTTTCTCAACTAACCCAGGCAACATTCTTAATCGAGCTTCACGAGATCTGGGCTTGATCGATGATGTGCTTCCTCCCACAGCTTCTGACTTCATCGAGGTAATAATGCTTTTTGCTGTTCACAACTAACGCTTTGGCGCTGCTTCTGTATTCCTTTGCCATAATATGAAAAACATTTAATTAGAAATGAAACTTCCTAATCTGTTTGTATACTGAAGGTATTTTTCTTTAAAGTTCAGTGCTACATACTGTATTGCTTAACATTTCATAGTTTACATAATAATTTAAAAAAAAAAAAAAAAAAAAAAAAAGGTGTTTGTGAAATTCTGTACCAGTGTCACATTTAACTGAGCAGTTTCTTCATATCATTCTAATTAATCTGTTTTTAAATCACACTGCAAATACTTTTCGAACAGCATACAATGCCAAAAGTATTTGTCATTTACGAAATGGCGTTATTACACACTACTGAAGCAATGCTCTAGTATTATTTTCGCAAGTCACTTGATATATTCTCAATTACTAGAATTATGCTCTCAGATTAAGGAAAACAGTTATAAAGAATTTTAAATTTGTAAAGATACATTTTTATGCTTACATCATGTATTCTTAATATGTAATAAAGGGGCTACTATGATAGTTATATTCCCTGGAAACCAAATCTGAAATTGAAGTACTTGAACATATCTATTAATGCTGAATATAGTGAAACTGATTTGAGCAACAAAATATTGTATACAATCTGAAGGATAAACCTAATTAACTATCTAATTTTTGCTTTAACCTTTGTTATTCTAACAAATTATCGTCTTCACAAACTAAATAGAAATGTAACTAAACTGCAGCAAAACAAATAAGAGGTATAACTTAAATAAAATGTTTATTAATATAGAGACTGTTCACACATTTTTAGACGATGTATATTGTATTCACAAAACTAAATTACATAAAATTCTTGTGTTTTAAATGTTCTATTTGACACTCCCTTATTCTGAACTATCTTTCGACACCGCAATTTCCAAGATAAAAATGCCTTTTTGAAAAGGTAGAAGAGATATTCTATCCCATTCCTCCCGAACAGCTTTCCAGAGTCCTGTTAGGGTTTTGGGACAACGTTTGGATAATGCAGTTTTTAAAAGTCCGAAAGCACAAAAATCCATAGGTGACACATCGGGAGATTTAGTAGGGATATCAGTGAAGAGTATGGCTTTGATACCAGTTTTTTGTTCCATTTCTTTTAGGAAATTTACAGTGGATTTTGATGTGTGACTGCTAGCTTTGTCCTGAAGGAGTCTCACAGACTGATGGCACTGTGGGTAAAGCGGTGGTATTTCATTCAGACAAATTGGTGATAATTATGTTCCTGATAGCATTTGGAGTTAATTTTGACATTTTTTGTACTCTCTTTATTTTTAACTTGCCATTATAAGAAAACCAGCAACAATCATGAATCCCTTAGAAAAACTTTCTTTCGATTCTTTGAACCATGTACTTAAATTTTTTTCTCCCCTTTTATGATAATAAATGGCTCTTTTTTTGTTACAATCATTTAAATACACCCGTGCTTCATCTATTGTGACAATTTTTTTCCATTTTTCTTTGGATAAGTGTTTCTCATATAGAATTCTGCAGCGTGTCCTGCGTTGAGCGATATGCTTTGGAAGAAGATGCACATTGCGTTTTTTCGCTTTCTTAAGATTTAAATCAACATTTATCATTTTGTTTACATTGAACACCGAGCATTTTAATGATTTTGCAACTGTCCTTTGAGTAGGGGGATTTTCTTTTAACATTAAACAACGTACCTTTGCAATAGTCGAAAGATATCCGTTTATCTCTTGGATACTTGTTTGGAATTTTTGTCCCACTTGAGGCTCCAATTTGACGGTTTTTTTTTTCCTTTCTTGTTGATGATATTACCTATCGACGCTTTAGATATCACAAAACCGTGATTCTCACATCGTTTATGGATAACGGAGTATGTATATTTCTCTTCGGAAAGAGCGTAAATGTAGCCTTCGAACCACTGCTTTGTTAAATTCGCCATTTTGAATAAAAACAAACCTTTCCAGCCACAGACGATAATTTTGACTTTTAAAAACATAGTACAATTGCAATTACTTCTTTTGCAGCAAATGATTTTTTATTAAAGCTTACCAAAATCGTCTAAAAAAATGTGCGAACAGCCTCTGTAAAAGCAGTGTCTTTTAATATAAGTAGGAATTAACAAATATTAGCCATTGCTGCTTTCGAGGTGTCCATAAGTTAAATGATTAAAGAAATACATCCCTCAAGTTAACTTTTAAATAATGAACAACTCTACTCTAGCTAATGGGAATTGCAGCTGTGTGCATTAATAAATATAAAAATCACTCATCAAAATAAAAACGTCAGATAGGAGGGAGGTTCATCTTCTCAGGCTAACTCGCTGCACTGTGCAGTTGTCGTAATATTCTATGTAAACTACAAATCCGTTTATTATTAAAATTCAAACTAATTTGCGCTACCGTTAAAGCGGAAGGAAGAAACAGAAGGTATCGAAAGCAATTAACATAAAAATAATATGTTAACTAAAGAAATCTTTATGTAAAAACGTTATAAAAGTCTGTAAAATATTTAAAGGCATTTACTGAAATTTTTCGTAATAATTACGTATAGAATTAAAAAAATTTTTAATTTGTACCATAGAAGGTTTGTTTTATAAATAACACAAAGCATCAGCCGTCGAGAGCGTATATCATCCGAAACATCGGTATTTCGGCCTCATTACTAGGACGGGCTGACTCCGTTTAGTTTTCGTGGTTTATGCATGTGTGTCATGAATATGATCCAGACTATCTTTACAAAATCATCTTTACCCGTAGATGAATAGGTTAATGTATTTTATCATAACCAAAAAATCTAAATTAGCCCATATATAAAGAAATAAAGTTTATTTCATAAGTAGTAGATTTTAAAATCTAGAAACTAATAACCCTAAAAGATGGACTACAACAGTAATAATCTGTGATAAATGAAATTCAATATTAAATTTCGCTATAATTCTATTTTTTATGCATCAACCAATAAGCAAAATATAATGTTTATTTAATAAGTGGAACAATGTTGCTCTAATGACAAAACCGAATTAAATTCTTAAAAATGTGACCTTCATAAAAACTCGGTAAAGCCTTTTTAATTCAATAGCAGGCATTTATCGAAATTTTACATGTACATGCTTTATAAATATATTGAAGTTGTCTGTGTAAAACTGCACTATCAGCAGAACTAGTTACGATGATTGGCAAATTTTAATGTCTGTAATGTTAATATTATCTCAAATATAAAATATTGCTTAGTGTCTTTAGAAATAGCTAATGAGTTTTCCTTAAGGTACAAATTAAAATCAAGATTGAAAATGACTGATCTGAAAGTCATAGTAGTATACCTCTATTTTATTCAATAATATGATTTAAGCACTATATTATTAGTGAAGAAAATAAATCTAAAATTTCAAAATGTTCTGAAAATAATGTTCTTTTAAAAATGGATCCTAAAATTTCTTCAGCCAAAATCGATATATAGTAAAAGTATTAAGAAGTATGTGTTTCGAAATAGGTTTTTGCAAAATTATAACACGAGATTCAGGTAACGTTATTCATGTAGCTTTTAAAGAAATATTCCTAGGGGAAAGATATTCTTAATCTACCATTAAAACTATCCAATCGTTAAAAAAATTAAATATCAGTAAATTTGTTAAAGCTTTAGTTTTAATTAGAATGCACACGAAGACTTATAGTAATCTATATCTTTGTTGTTATTAATAGTCATAAAATTATTCTTAGAATATTCCTCCCCCTCCCTCCATAATAAGACGAATAAATATTTACACTTTTACCAAAATCAAATCTTACGCTTACTTGAGACCTATTAATATCATTCATAATAATAATAATAATAATAATAATAATAATAATAATAATAATAATAATAATATAATGATAATGATGATGATGATGATGATGATGATGATGATGGCCCACCAGCGGCCGAGCGGTAAAGTCACTGAACACTGGTTGTTCGGTCCGAGGTTCGAATCCCGCGAACGAGCTGGCTGCGTGGTTTTCCCCATGTGTAACGTGTATATGAGCCAGTTTCCCTTAGAAAGTCCTCCACCAAGGCATCCCTCCCCTTAAGCAGATAGCCCTAATGTGTTTTGCCATAATTAAATACACCACACCAATAATATAATTCTTGCTTACATATTTACTTATTAATTATACCTCACTCTTGATATAAAACTAACTTTTTTTATAAACACGTTACTGTTTATTCACTGACCATAAAAATGGAAGTTTCATTTCTAATGAGTTATATTTTTTCATAATGTTCTAAATATAATATTTTTAATATAATTATCTTAGGATGCATTTTTATGTATATTCAGTTATTTCAATATGCATCTTGTTTAAATATTGGCTCATAAACGTGATGTTTATATGATAGAATGAATAAAGCTAGTTATAATTGTATCAAAATTAAAATATAATAATTTGAAACTTTCAATCTCTTATTTCTGTATTATAATATTTATATTGATTTAATTTTAGTGGAATTCGTGTTGATTACTGTTAACACCTGTAGGAAGAAACTTCGTTATACGTGTAATTCAAAGGCATTATTGATGATATATTTGGATTCCTAACTTATTCATTTTACATTATTTACAGTTATCAATTTTTGCCATTCATAAATAATACCGAAAAATTTCAAAATAATTGCATATTTTTACGACATCACCTCTATTTAAAGATTTCATATCCTATGCAGTGATGCAGAGACGAGCAGATTTATCATACTGCAGTAACTTAGGTTTAGAAACAGGAGTCGTTTGTCGAATAATAACACTGCTGTCTCTTAAAGTGCGAATATGATATAAATATCGCAAGTGACATGAAAGCAAAATTTCATTGCTAGGCAACAATATTTCGATGCACAATGAAAAGTGACATAAAACAAGGTGCTTAAAAATTCTAACCTCTCAAATTTATGTCAAGACTAAATATTGGTAAGGCAGAGAAAAACCCATCCTATCAAAATATTGATCTCATTTCCGTTGTCTGTGAAACATTATCGTTTGACGTTTATGTTAGAATCGGGGAAAGTACTTGGCCTGCTAGTAAAACTTGAAAGTTTTTTTTTTTTTAATATTTATTATTATTGGCTTAATCTATGAGGCTGTTCAATATTTTACTGTAGCGGCAGCGCTCTTTTTTTCACAGCAAGTGGACAAAGAAATAAAATGAGATATGAAATTTATAATTTGGCGATAAATTACGTAAATTAAGAGTTAGATTTAGCCAAAAATTTGGATATGGTTAAATACGCTTAAAGTTTGACCTTCTATGATTGCCATGGCTTAACCACAAAATTCTCAGAGTTGTCAGTGTAAATGTCATTATGATGAATTGCCAGCAGAGCCAGTGCAGTGCAGCGGGTGCAGCTGCGCCAAGTTGTAGAATTTATGAGTGGCAAAATTTGTAAAATTTAATGACACACTCGGCGACAAAATCTTTAAAATTCAAGATCAACATAGATCAAAACAAAATGACGGCAAAACGCTTAGCGCCGCCCTGATTGCCAGTGTGAGCTATGACATTAGTGATATTAAACCTAAATGCACCTTTAATGAATGTGGCACATGTCAAAAAGTTCGACTTTTTTGAATTGCATACTCAGCTCCTTCCTCTGATTTGTTACTACGGGGACATTTTTATCAGTTAAAATATACTTTCCTTTTTTTGTCAACCTGGATACATCCACTAAACGTACTTGTAGATATTTTATAAGTACCTTTTAGATGAAGAAGAACAATTCGAAGTCTAAAAATCATTTAATGTTGTAATCCAGAGATGGTGTTAAATTCGGCATTCTTGTGAATTATATTTCTGTGCAATAGAAAGAAAAAAAATAGTTTCTGATCCCAGTATTGTTAACTTCGAAATAAACATGGTAGGAAATCTTTCAGGATACTGTACTTAAACTCTCCATGGTACCATCTGACAATGGCTGTAGAAGATCAGTTCTGACGTCTTCACGCTGAGAATCTGGCCTTTCTTTGTAAAATCAGAAATGAAATACATTCATTAATTCGAGAAAACAGGAGACCAAACAACCAAAAAAGAAGACCAGAACTATAAAGATGGTTGTCTTCATAGTTCACCTATGTAGAAATCTAAAGCTTCATGGCTAATAGAGATGTAAGCTTCTGAATACTAATTTGCTTAAGAATTAGGTTACATTATTATCACAATTTATGTGGTTGATTATTACTTTCCGAATTTTGAAATTGAGTTGCCATCTCAATAAGTCATTCTGGCTTCGCTTCCATTGCAAGGTATAAAGGTCGTATGATTTTGATAGTGTTAGACAAATCTGCAGTAGTAGGTACGATGACGTTATTCCACAAATGGATGAAAGCATTTAGGCAGACACCAATCGTTATCGGCGGCGGTCTTCTCAAGATCTTTGCTCAAGTTTTTATGGGAGATAATGTGATCAACATCCCAGGGAAAATAATTTAGAATTCTTCACGACACTCGCTGAAATAAACTCTTTAATGCATTTTGAAGAGTTAATTTTGAATTAGATCCTTTTAAATTTACAACAGTAATTTTTGTCGTCTATTATTTGAAATTCTGCATAGGCTTCATAAGACATACGCAAAACTGTTTCCATTAGGAGCTGTCGTATATTCAAAGTTTGAACCGCTGGACCTCTCCTTCTGTAGTATCATGAATTTTTGGAGCAGATTTCTGTATGTCACTTCAGATCTATATTGTAAAGCTATTTTATTTTTACTCCGACTGCCTAATGGTATCTTCGATCCTAGGCGTACGTAATTTTGCTACCTGTAATCAGTGCATGTAAGAAACCATTATTTATATGGATAAGAGAGTCAACTGACGGCTAAAATTTGGAAGGCCATATTGCCATTTTCGCTTACTTCGTTGTAGAAGTTGATATCCTGTTGTTTAGTAAGGAAAACGTTTTGAAGGATGTAACCAGAGGGTGCGATCCCGAGTTCAAACTTTCTTTATAAATTCTTCTGTCTAAAGTTCATCAGCTTCTTACCCATTCCTGTTTTTCTATCTAGAATTTAAATCTCTGAATGGATTTCGAGATCCGTTGAAACCAATTTTCTGGCCGTGCTATTAGCATGAAATAATACATGAAGAATTACTCTCTTAGCTTTAAAACACTTAGTATACCACTTACCCTGGTAATTTTGAAGATTACTGTCTTTTTGGCACTAATATTGCAACTAGGGACATTCTTATCTAGTGTTTGACTCTCTAGCATTGCATCTGTTTCTTTAAAACCTCCGTTTACAGCAAGAAAATCCGTAAGGCTGATTCTAAAATGGCTGTATTGTTGCTGTACATTTAACAATTAAGGAATCATAGTCCAAATATTATCCGAAAAATAATATATTGCAGGGTTTGAAAAGTCACTGTCACTAATGCATTGAACTCACACTAAAAACTCAGGTCGAGTCTGAATTTATTGAGTTTCTTGTGAATCCAAAGCCGCTGCATCTTTTCATGTAGGCTAAAGTTTGTCGACAACTTCATTCTTCATCATTACGTGTTTAATTACCAATTATATCCTCGTGGTTTTAATAACTCAAAGAAAAAAAATCATAATATGCCGAATTTTGCCAGCAAATATAATCAAAGTTTAATAACTTTAGTTATTAGTTAAGTTAGATCTCTTTTCACGAAAATGGAAAGGTAATATATATAATTTTAAAACATTATACATTTTACCCTGCATATTCATGTACAGATAGATTATTGCATAAATATTAATGGACTTTCATGTATATTTTATAGCATTCTACAGATTTTGATTTGGGCTAATTTCTTTTAAATATCAAGCAGTATACATTGCAGTTTTAGTGAAAGTGAGTGGTTTCAGAAAAAGAAATCAAATTTGATGTAAACGGAGAATAAATAAATATAAATATGAATAAATGACATTATGACTTAAGAAATGCATTTAAATTTTGAAAAATATGTTTCATCTTTAAAAAAATCAGAATTATTTGTCTAACGATTTTTTCAAATATCTCAAGTATTTAAATATTATTTTTTTAAAAATTTGTTGTAACTGCCAAGTAATACAGTGCATAAAATATTTTACCTTTTCCTTTTTAATCAGATTTTCTGCAATTTATTTGGCATCATCTGTGTCGTCGCCATCGTGGAGCCCTGGCTTCTTCTACCAACTTTTATCATTAGCACTATGTTTGTCTTTTTACGGAGGTTTTATTTGCCCACAGCTAGAGATGTCAAACGATATGAAGGGATTAGTAAGTATAATATATTTAGTTATGCAAAACATTTGCAAAATACTGGGGGAATTTGATGTAAATATTTGTGCTAGTAAATGTTCTATATGTTTTCAAATAGTTTTGACAGTTAATAGCTACATGTATTGCTAAAAACATTCGTTTCTATACGTACGACATTCACATCATGACGCTACACTGAAAAGATGAGTATGCAATATTGTAATTGAGTTATTTCTTCTTTCTGAACTGAAGCAGAACAAGAAATAATTTTCATTATAAGAGTATTAGATTTAGCAAAAGTGAAAAAAATAATCTCATAATTAACTTCGCAATTTTTTAATAGATAAGATTTAATAGATAAGATCATGCAATTACTTATCTTCCTTTTTCTAATATGTTTTAGATTATACTTTTAATGAAAAATTACCAGTAAAAACTTTATCAAAAATGATTTGTTAATGACCTTTGTTAGTTAACTATGTCAGTTTAAAATTCTAATTAGGTGCTATAAGTTGCCTTAATTTTCTATGCTTAAATTTCCTTCTTACTTTTTCAGCAAAATATCATTAGTTAATAAAAAATATAAAAGTAAAAATTATCCTTCTTTCCATCTTGCGCTCATAAATCATTATGAAAATATCCATTTACAGTTACTAAAGCCTGAAAAAAGCATGTTTGCGATGTTATCGTCCTGCGATGATTTGTCGATACTTCATTTTTTACCGCGATATTTTCGACAACGATGTTTTTAAACTGCGAAGTTTTTGAACCGCTTTATTTTCGACGACGGTATTTTGTACCACGATGTTTTAGAACTGCGATGTTTTCTCTTTGCGATGTTTTCTCCCACGATGTTTTGTAGCATGACGTTTTCGCCTTGCGTTGTTTTCTCCACGACGTTTTAGTTCGCGATGTTTTTGCCGCGATGTTTTCGGCTGTAACCATTAAAATGATATGTTTAATTAGAAATATTCAATATTTTTATGAAATAACATTAGTTGGAATCGTTATTGATTATGTACGTTATCTTTCTTTATTATCACTATTTTAAAGAAATAATATAGCAGATATAAAACTTTGCATGGCAATCTATAACACTATATCGGGAATTCGAAAGATATGCTGTTTTTAATTGTTTTGTTATTTTACTGTTGAATTGAATTTTATGTAGCCTAACTGCGAAGAACCTGACATTTAATAAATAAAGTTAACACTTTAAAAGTTAATAATCAAAAGACAACAGTTTTTGTTAACCATATTACTAAAAAAACTGAATATTGATATGATGAACTCAGAAAAGACTGAAAATATGTAAAAAGATTATGCCAATGCTTAACACTGCATCGAGAATTTTAAACATATGCTGCAATTCAGCTTTTAAAAATTTTGGGTTTTATTATTGAATTGTAAAACAAACCATAATCGTAAAGTTAAAAAGACAATAAAAAAGGATAGTACCCCCCCCCTTTTAATGCAGACCTGAATGCAAGAACAGGCTGGAAAACTTCGAGCTCAGCGGAAGCAAACAAATCCTTTTGGGACGATCTTAACAAATTTTTAAAAAATCCTTTTGGTCCTATAACAGATTGTTTTGGACGATCTTTATAATCTGAAACCTTTCAAATGTATTATTTTTTTCTTACTTATAGAATTATTTTTATTTGGTCATGTGTCATGAATACCTTTGGGTCTTTTTAGACGCGGATATATTAAAAACTTTCTTATTCAGTTATACAAGGAATTTGGCAGTTACAGGCATCAGTACTGCACTGAAGTGCTACTGAATTAGGGATAGACATGGCTATGGAAATTTTATCGCGCTGCTCGGCAGCTGTGCGTGAGCAGTGCTGAGCTGTACGTGGCAGCTGTGCGTGCTCGCGTGAGGAGTTGTGGTAAATGCACATACAGCTAATCAAGGCGACAGTCGTACAGTCAGTAAAAGGATCGTGCAACGCTCGCTTCACCATATAAGCTTCGGAAGCCGTAGACCCATGAAAGCCATGAGTATCTTTGCTGAATTCGGAAGCCATGAGTATCTTTGCTGAATGCATGCCATCGAGCTGCACTTCTTGCCTGGACAAGAGAATACAGAGCATAGACTCTTGTGGACTTGAAATGAATAGCAAGGAGTAATGAGTCTCGATTCCGACTAATTAATACCGATGGGAGGTTGACTGATGAAGCCATGAACTCGGTATGGCAGGTTAGAACTATACAAGGCCATGGTGGCTTAATCATGGTCTGGGATGTTTCCTCTTGGCAATGTTTGGAATCTTTGGTACTTGTACCAACCTCCCTCAATATGATTCGATACGTAGAGTTGTTGGGCGATCATCTTCATCTATTTATGTTGTCCTGTCATTCACACGGAAATGGAGTATCCCAGCAAGATAACTGCACCGCTTAAAGGTCCTGGTTGGCTACTGCCTGGTTGGATGTGCGTTCTTCTAACTTCTGTGTCATAAATTGACTACTTAAAAGCCCTGACTTAAATTCTACTGAGCATCTTTTGGACGTTTTGGAGAAAGGTTTAAAACCTCGTCACACAACACTAGCGACTCTTCCTAAATTATAGACAGCTCTATCCGATGTTTGGAAAGCCATTTGGCAGCCATTATAAAGGCTACAGGAGGTCCAACTCATTATTGACCAGCTATCCCTAATTAAGTGGCACTTTAGTGTATTATAAGGATATCAGACGCGTGAAAATTGATTATTGTAAGGATCCCATGATAATTATTTTTATTTCCTATATTATAAACTATGACAAATATATGTAAGTGTGAATGTACAACAAAATGCCTAAAATATATCCTTTGACAGCGAAGAAGGTAAGATGTTCTTAATGAAGGGATAGCAAACCTTTGCATGATAAAAACCTTATATAAAAATGTTTAACAAATAGTAAGGTGAATAGTATTTAGCAGTTTCGGATAATTTATAGTCGAATTAATTCAATTTGAAAACGTTTTGCTATTAATTTTGAAAACGTTTTGCTATTAATTTTATTTCTGAATGCATTAAGAACAGATTTATATATTAAAAAAAAGTTCAAAATTTTCATTTTAAATGCATTTTTTTTTGCTTAAATATCGCATGAAAATTAATATGCATCCGTAATAATAAATAAATAAATAAGTTAAGTTAAGCACTGCGCAATAGATGAAATTGGAGGCAATAAACTGAATTTACTTTTGTCACCGAAGCGTATTCTACACCAAGTATTCCAGAACTTAAAAAAAAAAAATTCACTGATCTTCTTGTTATTCTTTTTTCATCTTGCCAAACCCCTATTTGGTCCCTTTTCATACCTGTTTTTAAATAAATATAGTAATTACTTGTATTTATATAGACAAAATATGTTGACTTTATGTAAACCGAGACGTTAAATCAGTGTAAAAGAGGGGCAATCTTTTACCTAGATAAACAATTAACAGTGTTTTTAACATGCTTGTTTTTAATTTATTTTAAGAATTACATTACTTCATTATGTTCATAACCTGTATTAATAGAAATTGTAGAGTCTCTCTGTTTCTGTTAACATACGCTAAGTCAAGGCTCTAAATAGAACTAAGCGACTTACCGCTATGTCTAATTAAGCAAACAGAAAGCAAGAAAGATGTAAAAGACCCTTTTATTAAGAACTCAAATAAGTTAAAGAGAAGGTACTCTTGGTGCTTACAAAAACAGCCAGCAGTTATGGTGTAAACTCAAAAGTAAGGGATGCAATTTAAATCAAATCTAAGTTAATCAAAGGCTACGCAGAAATATTGAACGCACAAGTTGGCTGAAACCCACACCAGCGTGACATCATTATTTGCAAGATTAAAGCAACGTCGTAGATAGGAATGCTATCGTAGAATGTCAACTATTACCGTGGCCTTCAGCAGGCGGAACATGCTCTGACTAAAGAAATCTCAAACCGCACCTTAAATACACGCGAGCTTAAAATTTGCATTCTTGTAGGAAAACTAAAAAGCAAAAGGGACAGCAAAGTTTCTAAACATAAAATAACTCATTAATTTAAATAAATACCTTACAAAATTATGCTACCTAACTTCAGAAAATTTACAACAATTTTTCAATTTGTATTTACTTCAGTTAAAAAAAAAAAAAGACGAACCTAGTCAGAATTTTTGCAACGTCGGAGGTCATCGATGAAATCAAATTAGGACTAAATATTTATGTAAAGTTAAACTTTAAAATATTGACAATTTTAAAATTAATCCATAAGTATTGGTATATTCATCCACCACAAAGCAAAAATTAAAAAAGGCAATATAAGTTATTGGCATATCCTATTTTGCAATATAAGTTTATTAATTACATATATTAACTGACGTATTATACGTAATGTAATAGACTGCATACAGAAACATTAAGTACTTAGCCTATCATCCAAAATATTCCCATTACTCGAAAATATAAATACTCCGAGATTAACAAAAGAAAAATAGTCGCGCAAATGAAGTAATTATTAATGCCATTTGTAATGACAGTACTTTTTAATTTAACTTCACTATAGTTACAGATGATTTGCATTTCAGCTAGAAGTCCTGTATTTTCTCATTTGAGCACTTCTTTGTATGGCTTGACCACAATCCGAGCGTTCAAAGTGCAGCAGTCGTTCGAGGTGAGTTTCGACCATTACCAAGATCGACATACCGCCACCTGGTTCATGTTCATCTCTGTGACCCGTTGGTTTGGTATCGTCCTGGACTGGTTATGTGTGCTGTACATAACTTCTGTCACAGTTTCTATGGTGCTACTTTCGGAAGGTAATTTCACAAACATGTTTATTCCTTTTTTTGCGGCAACATTTTATCTTGAAGACGCTATAAATGAGATTTTTTATAATATTATACTTTTCTTGTGAAAATTGATTCGGATACTTTCGTAAATAATTACTTTGTTGTACATTTTAAGAGGCATTTTAAGCCAAAACTAGACTTGAATTTATAAAGAATTTTCTTTTTTCCAATTAAAGTAAACGGAAAGGTTGTAAATGTGTTAGTGCAATTACTATAGAAAGTGAACAGGGTGGATGAGAAGTAAATAAAGATGTAAAAGAAATAGCTAATTCGAAAATAATTATATAGGCATGGAAAGGAAATAACTAATTCTTTCGGGTAAAATTTCATTCCCAAAAGCATGATTATTCATTGTTATGATGTTTCGACGGGAAAAAATGTAAAAGGACTGCTAATATCAGATTATAGACGATGAATATTTGTGCGCGTTTTGCTTTCATTTTTATGTTTACAGCTTTGAATTGCGTTAAGTAATTACTGTAGTGGAATTGGCATTTTCGTGAAACTTTCATCGTGTATTTCATAAGATTAGCATGTTTTCTCAGTACTTTGTTTAATTCTTTAGAGAGATTTATAAATAATATATGGTTCTCATTTGAAATGCGATTTTACGTCAGCGAATAAAGAATTCAGTTCGAATAAACCATATGTGACTTTAAAAAGAAGCAGGCTAGGAAAATTTACATTTTTCTTTGCTATAAGCTGCTTGATGATAGCTGCCTGTCTGAAGAAAACTATATACTTTTCATTGTTCAGTCTTGGAATCCTCAACAGCACATATCGGATGCATAAACATCACAAAAGATGTCCAATTCAAACTGATTTATTTATGTAGATATTTTTAAAAAGCAAGTAGAAATGTAGCAAGTATCTCTTGACTCGAATTGTTGTTTGGCAACTACGTTAAGATTGGATTTAAAAATTTAGACCTAAGAATTTGTACATGCGTTCTGTATTTTTCATTTTAAAAGTAAAATTTATAACAATTATGAGTCTTCAAATACAGCTTTCAGCAGAAATATGTAACGCGATATTCTTTTTTCCTTTGTAGATCCTTCTTATGCAAGTAAAGCTGGTCTAGCTATTGCTTCGGCTCTGCAGTTGAGTGGCAGTTTCCAGTGGGGAGTTAGACAGTCTGCGGAAGTTGAAAGTCAAGTATGTAAAAATCGAATGCAATTTTTTTTCACTCCCGAGTATAGAATGTCGATTTTAAACAATTAACTGGACTGAAATTTGCTGCCCTCAAATGAAAAAAAAAGTTATCTTACTGTTAATTCATCCAGTTATTTTACAGATTGATTTTTGACTTTTCTAGATGACTTCTGTTGAGAGAGTGATCGAATACAGTAATCTGGACTCAGAAGCTGCTCTAGAGAGCGAGAAAGACAAGAAGCCTCCAAAAGACTGGCCTGGCAAGGGTTACATTGTTTATCACAACGTTAATCTCAGGTATTCCCCTAACGAGCCACCAGTTCTCAAGAACCTCAACTTCGAAATCTATCCGGAAGAAAAGGTAAAGTTACCTTATTACAAAAATAGGATGTACAAGTTTAAAGTAAATCGTATTTCATGTAAAGCTTTTTGTCCTTTTTGCGGCTTTTAAATTTTGATCTCAGTAGCAGATCCAAATATATGAACCGCATACAAAACGTCTAAACTTTGCTGTAGTTTCCTGTTTCTAATAGTTCATTCTTCAATTCTAGCTTCATATCTTCATTATCGACTTTTAAAGCAACATTTTTCATAGTTAAAACACTTTTTTCTTGATTATTTTCTAAAATTTCATTTTGGTTTTCTTCCTATAGAATTATTTTTATGTGCTATTTTTTATTTCTTTTAGTTCATATTTTTTCTTAATGAATATAAATTTTCATCAAGCACAAAATTTCTCCATCACTGGATATATTCTTCGGACGCAGTAATTTCTTCTTCTGTATCACTACAAAAAGTAAATTATATTACTTACAGTGTCGACATTCTAGTTGGATTTCATTTCTTGTTTGCATAAATTAATAAATTCTTTAATATAATTTACGAAAATGGTAGAGCCTTGGTTATCCTAGCTCTTATTAACCGAGGATTCGTATTATCCGAGATAAACATCGTGCGTACTGACTGTAATTGAGAATACTGTCACAGGAAATCTTAAGGTTTAACAGGAAAATCTCAAGTCCCGATTCTCGAAAACTGTTGTTCATTAATCGTAAAAATTTCAGATTCCTGAGAAAAATTCTTGGAAAATTCGGAAACTGACGAAAAAGTATTTCCTTTTATCTGAGAAATTATGCTTTTAAAGTTTTCAGTTCCTTTCCCCCAATTAACTGCGCGAACGAACTATATCATCTTAATGTAGAAATAATACGATTATTTAAGATGACATGGGAAAAAAAGGAAAAAGAAAAGTTGTTAATGATTTGGATGTGAAAAACTCAAATTACGGAATTTCTGCTCATTATTTTTGATACCATGAGTCTTGACTCAGCTTCATGGAATGAGGTAGCATCTGATACGAGCAGTAATTGCTCTGAAAGTAGAAATTTTGTTACAGATTGCAAAATGCATTGTAAGACCGCTACATAGTGCCAATTTAAGTTGGCTTTAACTTCAGGCAAACGGGCTGGTTGCTTGAGTGTTTTTGTGGTTTTGTCGTATGCAGCATGTATACAAGCCAATATCTCTTTGTTTCAGAACATGGATGGGCAAAATCCGGCCTGCGGGCGGTATATGGACCTTTTGATTGCTTAATGCTGCGCATTACGAAATCTCGAGTAATGACATTTTTATCTTATTTCTAGCCGATTTCATATGCAAACAAACTACCGAAATCAGCACCATGAGCGCGCATCTATTGTTACAGAATATATGCGCGTACGTTTGACTATACTGTCGATCAACCTGAGATCAATCGATGTGCTAGAAAGCATGTGCGTCTGCCGAAGATTACAGTTCTATTATTTTTCGCATAAAAATGTTTGTTAAATCATTGACTTCCTTTTTGCATCATATTCCTTGAAATTTATGAGTATATTTTATATTTCATTGGTTGACCCGCATGCAGGTCCCTTGTGATTCCATGCTCACCATTTGGGAATTATTAAAAGCAAAATATGTAAAATTAAATGCATAAAATGCTATTTTAAAAATTTCTACCGAGAAGAGGTTCTTTGTCTCCCTTCTCCATTGTCCCCTGGTTAAGGCAAAAGATCGTCGCACAAGCACCATTGCAGCTTCCATCGGCCTTGCTCTCATGATGCGCTAAAAAAGACATTTTTGGCCTTTGGTTAAAAGTATTTGCTCACTTCTGTCATAGAGAATAGTAGTATAGATATTGCGCGCTTTGCCATAATTATTTAAACAAAGAAACACATTTATAGAATTTACGGAAACAGCGGTTTACTAGTATGACGTTTACTAATGTATGCGCCGACATTTGTACGAAAAAGCGAAACTGACGTTATTGACAAACTGCGTTCACGAATAGCGAAAGAATTTGAGAATACTTAATTGCAGAATACTTCTTGATGCGGACGCCGCACAAACGTTGAAGATTTCGAAAATTAATACCTATAAATTTTTTATCGTTCCTTTATCAGGTTCAATGTTTCTTCTAACCTTCTTCGGAAACATACAATGACCTGACTAGAACAGAGAGCTTACTAAAGCTATGTTCACTAATTGTAGTAAGTAGACAGGATACAGACGAAGGGTATACAAAACCCTTTATTTTTCTTTATATACAATGACTTCCGTACTTCGGAATACAATGACCCTCCACTCGGGGTCTAACGTAAAAGATATCAAAATAAAACTAAACTCTAATTTAACTTTAGAATAATACACGTGTAAGATTGGCCTTATAGTAACAGGAAGCGTATGTAGCACAGAGACTGTGAACACTACAATACGTTTAATTTATCAAGAGGATTAAAACCTCTGGCCTGGAAGGCAAATAGCAACTGCGTAACTTCTACGGTAAGCGGCCTGCTTCGAACTCACTGCTTCCTCTCTCTTTCGCTTGGCAAAAAGGCCACACTTAAATACTTGGCGTTCGCCAGACAAACTTTGCATAAAATCCTTCACGCTTATAATTCTGGCCGGAAGTAGAAAATAAGAAGTGATAGTAAAGATTTAAAATAAAATAAACGTTAGTAAAACTTAAGATCCTTACACCTTAAATAAATATATTTAGAAGTTCGATGAATTTTTTAAAGTAGTAATATAACGAAAACAATTTATGTTTTTATTCCTAGTCCTAATATAATCTATTTCACCTATTTATTAAATGATCTATATCGAACGTAATATGAAACTTCACCTTTTTGTTTGAATTTAATTAATTTTTGAACCTTCTAAGTTGGAAAAAGATAATTAAACGTGATACTATATTGTATAAGTAAGTGAATTCTTTTTTTATCCATAAGTTTTCATTTCCAGTCGTCTATTTCATCCGAGTTTTCAGTTACTCGAAATATAATCAGACCTTATTCTTTTGAATAATCGAGAAGCCATTATACATACAAAATTATCATCGTTGAAAGCCTACGTAATATTGACTTCAGTCACTATCTCTACTAGTATTGTATGACTCCAGTGGCTATCTGTGCTTACATTTTGTCAATCGTCGGGATCTTACCGAGTGCCTGATAGAAAGCAGCCCACGTATTTTCTGTCTGATACGAGAGAATCCATAAAATTTCCAAATTATCTCTTAAAATGCCCAGTTTGTATTTACACGAGTGTTCACTAATATCTTAAACTTTTCGAATTTTTCATGCGTTAAACCGCTGAACATTCCTGCTAAAAAAGCTGCTATGAACCCTGAAAGATTCCTGCTAAAGAACTTATAATTTTCTTCTGAAGCGGTAAGAGAACGGTTTCTGAAATTGGAGAAAAGTGAAAAGGTTCCACGTAAGACGGACACAAAAGACTTTGGTCCAAGGAAGAACTTCTCTCGGCTGTTACCAACAATACTATGCTCCGCAAAAAACAGAGTCGTTTAATTCCTTAAATATACGCGTATCCATGGGAAAATGTTTGAGATAAAAACGTCTTATGCGTTTATTCAAATGTACTTTGTCTCACTAAATATAAAAATTCCTCTAATCAATGAAATGTTCTTCAGTATCGCAATTTAAAAGCATCGAAATTTCAGATTGGTATCGTCGGCAGGACAGGAGCAGGGAAAAGTTCGATGATCGCCACATTGTTTAGGATGACGGAACCAGAAGGAGAGGTGAAAATCGATGGCATTTGTACCAAAGATATTGGTCTGCACGATCTACGAAAGAAGATCTCAATTATTCCACAGGTAAGCCATTTCCTTAAGGTTAATTTTTTGTGTACGCATTTTCTAATGTGTGTTCATATGCTAGTGCAGTTTCCGATATTGCAATAGACGTTTTATGCATTTACGTTTTGAAGTGTTTGTAATCCCACGTTTTGTTGTCATCTGCTTCTAACTCAAGAACTCAGAATTTTAAAGGGCATTTATTCCGTATCCCGTATCCCGTATCCGTATTGCGCGTGGACATATATGTTTAAATATTTTTTAAATAATTATCTAAAGCTTAGTTCGGTCATAGGATAACACGCTACATATTAATAAAATTCGGCCTATAATGAAACTGATGCAATAATTCTAATTAAAACCCCTGGAAAGTATGATGGTGATTTTCACTTTTAGTCATTTTAAATAATTAATTAATTGAGGGTTTTTTTTTTTTTTTTTTTCAGACTGAAGGGTTATAAAGTAACCAGAACTGCTTTATACTGTGACTCAGTAAATCACTATAGTTTTGGTTGCAGGTCTTAATAATACTTCGGACTTGCAGTTGGTGGCAAGTTTTATATTTTATTATGGTTAAAAATAAAGAATTATGATTTAAAAACTACTGGGCTAGCTTTAAAAAAAAACTGAAATTGAGCAATATTTTAGATGTTTTGTATCGTCAAACCGAAGAAAGCGGCAGAAAACCAATTTGAAAAATTATTGGATAAATGGAATTTTAAAATTAATTCGATCATTGTCAATCAGGACTGGAGCTAAGTTTTTGTCGCCCGGTGCCCAACTTTGTGGATCCCAGGTGCTGCTCAGTACCTGAGTAAGCTCTCAAAATTTTGACTCTGTTTAATTCTGCTTCCAGTGCCATTTAATTCTCCTTAATTATAAAAATTTTGTCTATATCCTAAATTTTGCTGCTAAATGCTTCCCTAAATTATTAAAAATTTTCCGTCCGTTGTGGCTTTACCGGTTGCTGTTACTCTGTCGCCTACCCAGCTACCATTCATACTGAAATCCCAATTAATTAAAGGATTTTAATTTGAATTACAAATCTACATTTTATACACCAAAATTCTCGTCTTAATGAATTGGTATAGCAGAATCCGTAGAGACATAAGATTGCTCCTGAACTAGGAGAGATGAAAAATAAGCAATGCCCTCGCCATGACTCGAACCACGGACCTATCGAATGCGCGTAGAGTATGCTGACAAGTACACCACGAAGGCATGCTAAGAAGGCCGGGAGAAATATCTTATAAATCATTCTAAAGCATTTTTGTGTTCATTATTATAATATGAAATATTCTGATAATCATCATCCTCATAATAAATATTGAACTAATATAATAAAAAATTAAATATTAGAATGAAATTGAAAATCATACTAATTTTTAATTAAGGATTCTCGATATTTGATTTTGATTGCACTAGATAAGCTTAGACTACTTTAGCTTCAATAATTACCTTTATTAGAACGTTTTAGGAATTTAAAATAGTCCAAAATAAATTCGTCAGTTTTCTTTGTTTACCAGGTTTGCTTCAAATAACTGCTAATACTAAACAGAAATGATAGCCATTTGAACATAATTTCTTTGTCTTCGATAATTTTTTAAAACCAGTTATTTTTGCATAATACGAATAAAATTATTTGATTGATTTAATTGAAAAACAAATGATTTTTTAATTAGGATCCTGTTCTGTTTACTGGTCCTGTGCGGAGAAACCTAGATCCCTTTGGCGAACACACGGATGATGAATTATGGCAAGCTTTGGAGGAGGTAAGCTTTAAATATTCGATCCTAAAAGCTGAACTCTCTTATATGAATGCGGTGCTGCTTTCTTTAGAAAATTTTCCACGAAGGCATCCCTTCTGTTAGGCGAATAGATTTTATGTACTTTACCCTAATTGATTAAACAAATAAAGTGAAAGCTGAATGTTTTTGATAACATGTTGAAGACGGAACACTTGTTTCAAAATTCATGAAGTAGGTTAATTATTTTATTTGATTTTTCTTAATAAATGCAGTGTGAAACAATCTACTTAAACAAAATAGATATTTACAGGGACTGGAATTTTAAAATAGTTGCAATTATTTATTTATAATTTATACAAAACAGCTACTTCTGTAAACGTTTTACTGTTTGTAAACTTTTTTTAAAACTTTGAAACTTTTTTTTATGTATTTTTTTAACTTAGAAGTAGTAAGCAGTATTGCGTAGAACCCGTTCCTAATAATGTGGAAGTCACAATCTCTGGAATCTGCATCCCCATGAGGACAACAGACCTACTATCATGCTGAAGTTGTTATTGCATGTCCTCTGGGGGAAACTATCTACTTTCTTTATGGGTCTGGGTCATAATCCCGACAGCCGAAATCCCGACAAGCCAGAATCCCTGTCCAAAACCCCGACAGGGCCGAAATCCCGACAACCCAAAGTCCCGACACGGTCGAAATCCCGACAGGGTCAAAATCCCGACAAGCCAGAATCCCTACAGGGTCAGAATCCCGAGTGTCCAAAATCCCGACAGGGTCGAAATCCCGACTGTCCAAAATCCCGACAAGTTAATATCTAAATACAAACACTCAATTTAGCTTAATAAAATACAATTTTTAACTAACTATTACATATTACTAATTAAAAGTTTAAATCAAAAACTCACAAAAATTATGTCATTACTTAAAATAATTTTTAACAAATTGAAATGACCGTTAAAAATTTGAAATGAAGATTTATAAAATTCTTTTTATTAAGAAAAAGAAAACATCACTTACACATGCAAACGACATATTACAGTGACACATTGCGAGCGATAGCACGAAGATTCCATCACAGGTCGATTATCACGATCGTCCACACACAGTCATAATTCTCCTTTCTCTGTCATCATCTACCTTCCTACTTGGGTTTTTTGTTCTCCGCGAAGAATGCATTCAACTTGGTATTCCACATGCTCCTGTTCTTTTTGAAATCCTTCTATGATGTTATAAACGCCAACATGGGCCCGTCCAATTAATCTTCTGTGCCAAGCCTCGACAGCATTTTAAGTGCTCGGAGCATTTATAGCTGCCTTTTCTAGATCACTAATGATTCTAGATGGCCTCAGTTCAATATTATTTTCTTCAGCGAAATCAATTAAATCTTGGAATAATCTTTTGTAATTTTCTTCAGATTTGCTAGTCATTAAAGCATATACTAGTTGCAGCTGTGTAAGTATGTTAAGGTGTCATTAGGCCTTATTGGGATTTCGACCCTGTCGGGATTTTGGCTTGTCGGGATTCCGTCTGTCGGGATTCTGGCTTGTCGGGATTTCGGCTGTCAGGATTATGTCCGGATACCTTTCTTTATTAGCCAAGACCTGAGAAGCTGGACTGTCGCCATAATTTAAACAAATATTGTTGAGTTACATGGGCATACGGTTACAGCCGAAAACATTGCCGCAAAAACATCGCGGGCGAAAACCTCATGGTACAAAACATCGTGGGAGAAAAGAAAACAAAGAGAACACGTCGCAGTTCCAAAACATCGTGGAAGAAAAGTAAACAAAGAGAACACGTCGCAGTTCCAAAACATCGTGGTACAAAATACCATGGTCGAAAATAACGCGGTTCAAAAACTTCGCAGTGTCATCGAAACTATTGTGGTAAAAAATAAAGTACCTACAAATCATGACGACATCATCGCACACATGCTTTTTTTTGAGATTTTAAAAGTTGTAATTGCGTTTTCGCATAATGATTTGGAAGCGCAAGAAGGAAAGAGCGTGAAAATGTTAACGATACTTTAAGATTAAACGGAAATAAGATATAATTTTCACTAAAACAATAACAGATTAACATGCGTGAAAAAAAATAATTTGATAATTAAGTAAGCAATTTTTGTATAGAGGTAACTTCATGCAGTTATTTATCTTCCTTTTTCTAAACATTTTTAGATTCTTTTTTTCATGAAAAATTATCAGTAAAACTTTATAAAAAGATTAATGTATTAATAACATTTGTTAATTAACTATGTAAATTTAAAATTCTGTTAAGGGCTATAGATTTGCATTAATTTTCTACTCATTTTCAATTTCTAAGTGCTTAAGTTTCCTTCTAAGTTTTTCAGCACAAATTTATTAGTTCATTCAAAAGTATGAAATATAGAAATACAAATATTCTTCTCCCCAGATAATTTTTGAAAATGCACTTAACACTTGAAATCCACTAAAACCTGAAAAACGCATATCTGCGATGTTATCGTCATGGCATGATTTATATTTTCGACGACGATGTTTTTAAACTGCGAAGTTTTTGAACATGCTTTATTTTCAATGAATCGTACCACGAATCGTTTTATCGTACCACGATGTTTTAGAATTGCGATGCTTTCGATGCTCTTTGCTTTCTTTTCTCCCACGATATTTTGTACCTCGACATTTTCGCCTTGCGTTGTTTTTTCCACGACGTTTTCATCCCCAATCAATCCAATTTCATCCCGACGTTTTTGCCGTGATGTTTTCGGCGGACACCGGGCATACAAGGCCCTTGAAGGAAATAATTAGAATCCTGTGTTGCGATTTCATTTTTTATCAATTTTATTAAAATTATTAATTTTAAATAAATTTATCCATTTTTATATAATATATTAATAAGTGCTATTAATATTTAATAAAGTTACCAATTTTATTCATCCATGGCTCATGTAAATTCTGATCACCTATTTCAGCAGCAATAAATCATATTTTATTTGCTTAGTGTTTAAATCCTTTGCCCGGTGAATTTTTAACTTGCAGCACGGTGTGCCCACTGCAAAGGTAAAAATTCCTTTCTGTACGCACAGAAAAATTTAATGAAAACGGATTTGAAGGTTACTATAGGTTACTCTGAACCTTCTTTATTTATAGCAGATGGCAGCTCAACACAAACGAGTCCATATATTTTAGCAATGTTGAGTTTTTTAAGATCCTTATTTTTGAAAGAAATCTTCCAGATTTTTTTAGGGTATAAAAGGAATTGTTTAAAAAGAAATTTCTATGTTATTTTTTGGCTGTATGCTAATCTCCTTATTCTATATCAGTTTTAAATTTTTACCTTGAAATCTTGCCTAAAATCGAACGGCGAACCGAGGTGTTCCCAGATTGGGCTCACTGCGAGTCTAGGTCACTGAGAGGCAGCTGTATCTTTGTTTCTCTGCAGCTCAATAACATAGAAAGGTGGGTCAATCTGCGTTTCATTTCCTGTTTTTTCCTTTCTTTTTTGGGGGGGAGAGAGGGGAGGTTTGGTTATCAACTAAGAAATGGTTGGAGTGATTTTATGAAGGTCAGGAATAATTTTATCAGTTAGCTGTTTGGTTTTTCACTAGAGCAGTTCTCTTTTTCTCTTTCGCTTTGGTTCAAAGAAGTTTTATTAGCGCTACGTTTAATAGTTTTGAGTTGTAGACATTTATATTTTTATTTTATAGTTTATAATTTCCAATTGTAGATATAATATTAGTTTTTTTTTTTTTTTTTCGGATTTTTAATTATTTTCCAAACGGATCGGAGAGGGCTGACGATTTCTAATGCACTGAAAGTGCTACACGAATTGCTTTCAGATAGTGAATCTGATACGGATCCGAACACATGTGCAAAACATGCAATATTGAGTTGTGCTTTTTCAAAGGTGGTGCCACATTCTTCGAAAAGTAGCACGATGAAAAAAATAGACTAAAGTGTAAATATGAAATATAAATAATGTAAATATCATATACCCAAGTTACTTTTTTTTCCATTCATATGCATGTAATCATCATATAACCAAAAATGAGTTTTTTGGGGGGTTGTAGAGTAGCAGATCTTCCCGTGACACACCCTGGGGTAATGTTAAATCTGCTATGGTATTCAGAATCTAGTGTTTTTTAATCGTAGACAAAATCTCTTACTATTTTACGCGCTTTCCAGCAATGTTCGTTTCAGCACTCTTTTCGAAGCTCTATTCAATCAGTGCCACAGAATTAAAACGATAAGTGCTTTCTTTACAAAATTTTACTTGTGTACTCCTCTAGGCCTAATTAAACTGCCTACCTTTTTTTTTTTATCGAAATTCCAACTTTAAAAAGAAGCATGCCGGAAAGGGTTAAATGCAAGTTGAAGTAAGGAAGATTAAAAGCAGCATTACGAGTGTCCATGCATTCAGTTTTCTTAAAATAACTCTATTTATCAAATGTCAACTTTTTTTCAAATTGGTAGTGCTAAATATTTGGCCCAACACCTTTTTAATATGGCAGTCATATAAATTCGCATTTATACGAAACCATTTAGTCATTTTATTGACGAATAGTCAATAAAGATAACTAGCAAATATAATAGTAAGCTTTCGTATTTGTAGTTATATGAAGATGGTGTAGTTTAAAAAAAAAAGTGATGTAGACACGAGGCTTAAATAAATGCTTACAAGCGGAGAAAATATTATCATTGCGTCGTGCCGAATGTCTGATTCTTGATTTATACTTTCTCGATAGTAATACAATTAAATTTTATATTTACACATAAAGAAAAGTACTTTAGAAATTACTGAGAAATAGCTCGTGTTTTAAAATTTACGATGGACTCATCAATGACTCTGAAAACGTCACTTTAGATTTAGAAAGCCTTCGAAATATGATGTTCGCTTTCTTGCAGCGAAACATTTATTCACCTGCAATTCACTTCCCTCCCCCCTTCTGCTACCTAAATTTATCAATGCAACAGAGGTGCGTGTTGCACAACCATTACATTGCAAATAAAACAATGTAAGCTTTGGCTAATCTTTGGAATATGGTAACAGGTTGTTTGGCGACATTTTTGTAAGGCGATAAAGGTTACTAGCTAGGACTTTAGCAGTGTACATGGATAAAGACAAGAGTGTGCGCAATGCCATTTTTGTGCAATTCTGGGATGTTTTTTTAAGAGAAAATAGGTCGACGTGTACATGGATGATACCGTGTATGCGCAGTTCTTAAAAACGCGGCAAGCAGTTTGGGATTCTGCACTTTCTCCCAATTTCGCACCTAATCTTCGTCATGATTAAGCACTTTTGTTCCATAAAAGTTCTAGCATAAGCGAAATTCGGCTAGCAGATTGTTGGGGAAAAAATGTTGAGGGGGTAAAAAAATGCCTTTACTTCGTGCAAACAAAATGGCGCCCCCCCCCTAAAAAAAGTAGCAGGTTGCTGTAGCAGGGTTGGTCGCCAAAAAATCGCCAAGTTACCATAATCCAAAGATTAACCAAGTTTTATTCTGCCACTTGGTCCAAAATGTTCAAAAAATGAGTGTTATTTTTTAATGTTTCGAAATTTTATCGGTGTTCGTATCAATTCTTTCGAAAAGCTATTTGTTGTATTACTGTCAGCATCAAAGCGTTAGGTAGAAATTGTATTTTTCTAAACTGAGCGTAGGGAAAATACCTATCGTATCCCGTTTCACCGAGGTAAAGCACTCTACATATTGAAATGATTATTTGAGATACATTAAACGGTGTGTTCTTGGATGATGACTTGCTGCAAATAAGGCAAAATGAACCCAATTTTCTAGCTTCCTAGGAAAGCCCAAATTACTGGATTTTCTTTTACGAAAATCATATCAGAATATGCCATACATTACAGAATTACTGTCTTGTCCCTAAAATAATTGAATAAACTAATAAATAAATAAAAATAATGCAGAAATTTCAAGCGTGGTCATTCTTGATTGAGCGTCTACGGAAATTAAATATAATTTCAGTGCGTTTCTGTTGTTGGCCTACTCATAGAAACAATGTAATGTTTTTCATAATCTAAGAAGTGTTATACTTCTCAGTACAAATATTAACTGCAGCAAAAATATTTTAGAACTTTTCTGAGCTTTCATAACTTCATAAATTTAATACCAAAGCCCACTATTATTTTTCTTACATCCTATATTGCACCGTTTTTTGAATACATTGATATTATTCATGATGAATCAGCTAATTAATTATTTCCTGCACATTTCTGGTGTTTATTCCTGTTCACTTACTATTTTTGCTTTCAGGCATATTTGAAAGAAGCAATAGAGGAAATGCCTGGTGGACTAGATACAGAAGTTTCCGAAGGTGGTGGTAATTTTAGCGTTGGACAACGGCAGCTCATTTGCCTTGCTAGGGCAATTCTCAGAAGAAATAGAATTCTAGTCTTAGATGAAGCTACAGCGAATGTAGATCCTAAGTATGTAACACTTTCTCGCATGTTCTTTTTTAACTAGTTGTGGGGACACAGTATTCCCCTTCATAAAATAGCTAAATCGTCGAAATTTGTTCTTGGCTTAAATGTTAGTTGTAACGTTTTTAAATATAGAAGGAAAATCTTAAAGCTGCACCTTTAGTAGGTCAAAAGTTAACAAGACTTTTATGTTCTATGGCAGCCATTAAAAATGTTTTCTCTTTAAATAGCTGCCATGGGGCAGGAAGATCTTAATAGCTGCCATTCGCTAGTGGTATAGCCTAATGGAGAGTCAAATTATTGTATTTCTTTATGCCGAAAAGCGTGATTGAAGTGAAATGATGATTGAAGAGAAATGAAATATAGGCTAATTTGCTGTTAAACTGATCATTTTTACAACTGAAAACTAAGGGGACATGCGACACGTCGACTGGCAAAATGCAACTATTTCGAGACGAAAGTTATTAAGGTATAACTTTTCTCAAAATAAACTTATACACTTGATTCTTTTTTTCATTTAAAATGCATAGATTACAGATTACAGAAAACACATAAAATATATATTAAATGCCTAATATTTTTAAAAACCAGTTGTTTTATTTCACTTACCTTTGACGAATCTCTTCGGACAATGTGCTAGTTCGGTACACTTTTATGATTTTTCTCGGTGTTCATTTTTTGTTAACATTCATGTTTAAAATATTTTAAGGCTTCTATTTTTTTTGGGGGGAAGGGGGTATAGGTTTATTATTATAATTTTGATAAAAAACTGTGCGTGGTATAAACGTTAACATCCGCAATTATTTTTTTAAGAATATTTAACTAAGAACTAGCTAGATTTTTATCTTTTTTACACTGGACTTAACTGCGAAAGCTTTTAATTAAATCTAATAACAATTCATCCAATGTTTCATACTCAGTTTCGTACACTATATCTGAAACAATGTTCCAGAACAATTTACAGGAAAAACATCAACACTGAAAAATATTGTAGGAGATTTTTTAATGTGTTTATAGCAAAGACACATAGATAAATAATACGTTACACAAATGAAAACTGTAATCCAAGTTTTCTTCTTTATTTTCTCCCTCTCTTGCATTTTCTCTTGCATGTTTACCATATTTTAAAACATTATTTTATTTTATTTTATTTATTTATTTTGAAGTTAAATATGCGAGATGCTTACTTTAATTTATTTGTCAGATTAAAAGCAGGAAATTGAAATAGATTTGTTGTTAAACTTCCTAATTTTATACTTGAAGAACTTTAAATTAATTTTTCTCCGTATTCATTTTTGTTGAAATGCATGGTTCAAAAGTGCAAACTTTTGTATTTTAAATAGAGATTTTACATTTTTATGCATGTTTGTTATTATAATTTTGGTAAAACTGCGCATGGAATGAACATTAGAATAATTAGTTATTTTCTAAAAAAAATATTTAAACTAGAAATAAGTTAAATTTTCTCGTATTTGCATTAGTTAACTTTTCTCTTTTTTCTGGAATATAGCAAAGTTTGTTATTGTATCTAATAACAAAAACGTCTCAAATTCCATGCACAGTTTTACAGTATATCTCAAGAAACGCATCTGAAAAAGTAAGAGGAAAAATATTATATTTCAAAATATAGAAGCAATTTTTTAAAAAATGAAATTTTTAAATAATTTAACTTGTTTTTAAACAAGAAGTGTTTGGTTTGTGATTCCTTTTTGAAATATAAAATAATTCTTTCTATAAATTTTCAAATGGGGAAAAAAAAAAAAAAAAAAAAAAAAAAATTCAAAGGGCATTTTGTGTCCCTTTAAAACTATACTATCAAAAAGGAAATATAAAACTAACATTCTTTTTATATTTTTCAGCACTGATAGTTTGATCCAGGAAACTATTCGAGATCGTTTTGCTCACTGTACTGTCCTGACCATAGCCCACCGACTTCACACTATAATGGACTCAGACAGAGTTTTAGTAAGTAATGCTTTCAAAATGTTTGTCAAATTCTTTGTATTATTAACAGATATAGGAAAGGACGACAGAATTATCGTACAATATTTGAAAACGTATATTTTATTTTCATTCTTAAAAGTTCCAAATTTGTTTTTTACTCTTATCAATTTTTTTTTACTATTTTAATTTCTCTATTAAAATGAATTTCCACCGTCAGAGTTAGACTCTGAAAATTGAAAAACAAATACCTGTTATGAATAGTATTAGAATTTTGACTTAAAGGATTTGAGTATTGGTAGCAATGTTTTTAATGCAGTGTTTTTATTAAATGCGTTATTTTTAGTCCAAAGGGGCAATTTACCCGGAAGGACTGCTAATTTCGTTTTGGCATTTTTCTTTCAAAATTGCTAAACGGCGAATCACTTTTTAAATTGTTGCCACCAAATATTAGAACCCTGTATTATATTTAAAGAATTAAATACTAGAATCTCATGAATGTATTTGTTTTCTCCATTTGATAAACCGATGGCACTTAGAGCCATCAAAATTGAGTACGTAATTTCCTAGAATATGACATGTGGAAGCCTTATTTGGATTTCACACAGCTGTTTTTATCAATTTCATATTTTTGTAACACACAACGATTTTGATTACCAAACTAAACATTCCAAAGCGAGCAATGGCAACACGTGAGAAAAAAAACTTTTTGTCTCCAGCGCGAGAGTATCTAAGACGGAAATTCTAAAGATATGCTCATTTTAAAATTCTTTTGCGATTTTCTGTTGACAAATTTTATGGTTTGGTTATGTATTATAATACAGTACACATGAAACGTTAAAAACGCCCCTTTGGACGTTAATTTTCAATCTGAAACCTTTTCAGATTATGTTTGGATTTTTTTTTTTTTTTTTTGTGATTATTATATTTAATTATAGTTTTCAATACTGCCTGAAGTTGCCTCCTGTAATGTGAGCCGTGGAGAGACATCATTAAGTTTAAGTTACCCAAGCCCTTAATGGTATCTGCAATAGGATAACTGAAAGATGACTAGAAAGAGCTCAGTGTTACTCTGAAGTTAGTTTCCATGAGGATTGTTATATGATCTCAGTCATTGGTGATATTAATGGGAAACCACACTGGGCTGCAGGAAAATATGAAGACACATGAGAAGGTCTTCTCCTTCTCTGCAATACGGTTCTTATACTAGAAAAAAAATCTGCATTCTGTTGAATAGCATGTGCTACTGTTTGTCTCGTCGCTAGCTTCACTCGCTGGAGATTAATTTGAATTCAACGCAGACTAAGACCATCCTGGTGTCTTACATCTGCGCTTACTGAGATGCTGTTGATATCTTGTTGTGAACAGAAAGACAAGGAAGCTGAAGAGTTAGCAATATGATCTATTTCTACGTACTCGTTCGATATGTTTGGCGTATGTTGGGCATGTTGCATGGTATGCTGCGTGGTCGCAGGGTTATTGGCATGTTCGGTGACTTTAGTCTGCGCAGTTGATACATGTGGGGCGTTTTGCATTAAAATCTTTGATATTGCGCTCTCGTAAGAAATAAGTGCAATATGCCTTGTTGTGATATTTTTGCTGGATATGGCCAAATTCCTAGCAGCGGTAACATCTCTTGATGTTGTAATATTCGGTAATTCATTGCATGCAGTTCGAGGCAAAGGTGCGAGTGTGATATTTTTTGGAAGGATTTTCAATCCTTTAATTTTTCGGAAGGAGTCTAGCTGGCATTCTACGATCCATTTGACGTCACTGTTGCGTTCTTTAAGACGAAAACATTTTTTACAGAAGGTTTATCACACTTTACTCTGTTTCTAAGGTTCGTTCAAGGTCCTGCTGTTGAAGAGTGAAGGACACGTTATGACTTGCACTATGTAGAAGCCTAGTTGATGGTGTCTTCATTCTGACCAGACTATTTCCTTTTACTGTGCTGAATGTTGGTCAGCTTTTCGATACCTTCTTTTGTAGCACACTCCATTGCAATGTCTCCTTTTTTGATATGTCGGACTGCTTGCACCTTAACTCCAATACTGGTTAAAAGAAACCCTTCAGCCAATTTCTGTTTTAACTCATATTTTTCTACTGTAGATTTAGATGAGCAACGTGGGGTTCGATTTTAGGGAGGCGGCTGCTGCATGGATGTAGGTCTTGACGCCAAAAAGTGGTAAGAACATAGTGTTTTTAGTGATGAGTTCCGCTGCTAGCGTTTCATTATTTACTGGCACGTCTTTTACTTTTACTAAGCTTTCTGTACGGTGTTTGGCAGTTCTTACTAATGTGTACAGCATTTTCTTTAGATCTTTCAAAACGTCACTTGGGAGAAGATATCCTTCAGAGCTTTTTCTATTTGCGATCTGCAGGCAGGGTTTTTGGAGATTTTCTTTGAATGGGTGGTAATCGTCTTCTGGTCGTTCGTTGGGTTCGCTGGTTGGTTCGTTATGATCACTGGCATTACAGAAATCAAATTTTTGAAGTCAATAATGAATGGTCTCCTTCTAAGTTGTTCTGGTTATATTGCTGATTGCGCTTGCTGTTGATCGCTTTGAGGATTTATCAGATTTATACCCTGATTCTTGTATAGGTTCTATGATTTAGGTATTGTTTAGAAATGGAGTAGGTATTATAGTTTTTATATGGTTGCGTAATATACTTGTGGGTATGTATTTAATTTACTTAACTGTTATTTTATGTTTCAGCAGCTTTCCAGTCGCTCTTACTTGCAACTCACACTTTCTTGCCAGAATGCAAACTGTTTAGCGCGCGTGTATTTAAATGAGGTAGAAAGAAGTTAATATTTAAGGAAAGGTTTTAGAAGATGAAAATAGAGCTTTTTCTGCCTTCCTGAAGGCCATGTCACTAACCTTGATTCTGTAATTATTATAATTTTGGGGCATTCAGCCATTCTTGCCATTACGCTTGTTAACGCCAGCTTTAGAGCGAGATCCAGCTCAACGCGACAATTAACCTGTGAAGCCGTTAGACTTTTTACTTCATTATTTTTAAGTTATTCATTACTTTTGAGCTAACACCCTTCTGCTGACTTTGTAGTGACTTAGTGATTGTTCACTAAACAGCCTTCTAACGTCGAGCTCAGTTTATGATAACCAAGTATACAAGACGTTATAGCAAACATATGATATATGTATATACTTGGAGTATATGAAATTTATTTTTAAACCACTGATGGCATGGATCCGGAATATTTAAGATAACCGCTCAAAAGTGTTTTAGTAATTTCATTCCTTGAAGAAGAGATACTTCTGTAAGTTTTCTTGAAAATGTATACGTTTTTTATAGCTTAATATCCATTTAATGTGAATTTTGCCAAACCGAAAAGTAGGCTTGTTTCTTTTCAACTTTTTACTTCGTTATGTTTATAAATATTTTACTTACTGAGGCCGTTTATTGTACGGGTTGAGATCTGTACAGAAAGCCTCTTCTGTAAAGGAAAAGCTTATACGAACTCGGTTCTTAGTTAAGATCTTACCTGAGCGAGCAGCGTAGCGGAATCATGGTTTGATCATCTTTCCTTTTCCTGTCTTTATGAAAGTAAGATGCACCACTGCCCTGGGCAAAGGGTGAGGACAGTAAGGCTTCAGGCCGCATTGACTTCTTGTTTTTTTTCCAGCAGTCGTCATCGTCCAATCTACAGATTATATATATCTCTTCTGCATTTGATGGTAATATTACTGTATGAAATTACCGTTATGAAGTTATATTTTGTTACTCAGGGATAGGGCACTGCCGTAAAATATTTATCACGTGACCTGTGGCCACCTAAGAAAGTTTTAAGCCACAATATGGAACCTCTAAAATGAGGGTAAAAGAGCACGAACTTTCTCTTCCTGCTTTTTATAAACTTGAGATTTTGATTAATTACCTTCAACCCTCCAATTACCTTCAGCCTTCTTTGGCAAGATGAAATAACTACTTAATTAGTTAGTTATAAATAACTAACTAAGGAACTAACTCTCTTTTAAAAATTTTTTGCAATTAATTAGTGTGCTCCATGATTATGTATTGTTTATTAAAAATTAACGTATCTTCTATTAATTATCCATTGCACAATGTTATAATAAATTGAATGCAATACTTGGAGTCATCTAGAATTACTTTCTTTCGAAGAAATATAATTCTTCATTATTCATGATGTAATTACTGATTCTGTTAAATTAATGATGTATTTACATTTATAGGTTCTGGATGCAGGTGAAGTGAAAGAGTTTGATGAGCCATATACTCTGCTGCAGAACCGCAACAGCTTGTTCTCGCACATGGTCCAAATGACTGGGCCAGGTATGGCGCAACAGCTCAGAGAAGTTGCTCGTGTTGCCCATCTGAAGGGCACTGGGATGAAGAAAGATACTGGAGGTAGCGTATTTGGAGGTCCTGGTGGTGATGATATTGTAGAAATGAATGGTACAGCCCCTGCAATAAGACGAGTTGCCAATGGGGTTGGATTAAATGTGCCCGAAGTGCAAAGTAGTGATGTATATGAAAATACAGAGATGACATACTTATAGCATCACGTTGAGTCATTCCATGTGGAACTTGTAAATAAATACATTTTATCATACCGGTTAATGAATTACGCAGAAGAAACTTTTTATTTTTTTGCATTAGAATAGTGCTTTGTTTTATGGAAAGTGGTTAAATAAAATTATTTTTGTTAAAAGTGGCTTAATCTGTGAAAATAGAAAGATACAGGAGAAAGGTAAATAACAGTCTGTACAGAAAGAGCAATTTATTAAAGAATAAGATTATAATTTTGAACTGGACCAATATTGATTGAATATTATAAGCATGATCTTGGAATTATACACTGTTTGAAATGATGATGCAAATATAAAATGAGTGCGGTAAAATTCAGCTAAATCAAAATTCAGCCCAACTCAACCGAATGCATGATATAGATATTAAAATATATTTCATATACATCTTTTAATAATGTTTTATGTATTCATTTTTACAACTAACAACCGAAAATAATTCATATCGGCTGCTAGGAAGACATTATCATTAGGAAACACAGTGCCATTGAAAATTTCTTACTTACTTTATGGATAATTGTTTATTTCGTTATTTAAGACAAAAGCACTAAGGAAGTAGGAGAAATATTTTATATACTCCCCTTTTTAAAAGGCGACTAGGTCCCCTAAAACCCTAGTCGCCCTTTAAAAAGGGGAGTATATAAGGTATTTCTCCCACTTCCCTAGCGTGCCTTTGTGGTGTAACGGTAGCACGCTGGGCCGGTATTCCAGAGGTTCGTGGTTCGATTCTCGGCGAAGGCGGTTGCATATTTTTCATCTTTTCTGCTTACCTACCTAATGACTCTACAAGATAACACCATTCAGTATATCTCTTCTCTTAAATAAGCATAATATTTATTCCAGCCTACTCATGGAACTAAATATTTACTGTTGAATTTAAAATAATAATAATAGTAATTGTTGAAAACTAATAGCAATTTTAAAAGATTTGCATATTTTATCACAATCAATTATTTGCCTTACTGAGCCACATTTTGCTTAATGCTATTATCTGATAAATACATATTAAACTATACACCATAAATAGCAAATGTGCTTATTGCCTGGTCTATGAGATATTAATTAATATCAAATAATGAAAGATACATTGGAGGAATATCAGAAAAGAATGAAAAGTAAAAAAATTACAAACAAAGCTCTGTTTCCGCTTTGAAATAGATAGTTAAGTGTCAGTTACGATAAATAGTTGCCAAAAAGCATAAGTTATAAAGAAAAAGAGAGTATAATAAAATACTTAGAGAAGGCAGTAATACAGCGTTGGAGGAAACTTTGACCCCATGGGCATTCAAAGTTCAGGGAAAGAGGGGAGGAGAATATTACTACAATTTTGTTCTTTTAACTGTTACTTGTTTACGAAATGCGCATAAATTATACGCCCAAAATGGTAGGAAATCGATGTTATTCAAATACGAAAATGTAGATTTTATAACTGAAAAATAAACTTCGGCATCTGATAAAGCAAAAGCCATTCTATTATCATTCCTAATCCGTTAAGATTAAAAAAACTTCCTTTCTGCTATCAGTAGTAGATATTTAATTATCCTACAGATTAAAAAAATAAAATGCAGTTTCAAAATTTCAGAATACTATTTGCCATTTCGAAGAGTATACCGTTAAGTTATCAAAATATATATGTTTAAAAAGTATAAAAGTAATAAAATTTAAAATTGCAATCCAGTAATAGTACGTTGATTCCAGTTTTAACGCTTAAAATAATTTAAAATTAAACAGTTACTAATTGTAATTATTTAGTTTAAAAGGGACTAATTTAAGCATTCATCTCCGAAAATTCAATATAGAGAACATAAAATCATATAATTAATGCGAGCTGTTAAAATTGCCAAATGACAGAAAAAAAAAAAAAAAAAAAAAAAAGACTTACTTAATATTATTTCCTCATATGTTATCTCCACGCAGGCACTTAAATGTTTATTTAGTGAGGAAAAGAACTTAATTATTTAAGATATAGCTGGCCATTTATTTCATTGGAACGCTTGCGAAAGAGATTTGTAACAAAAACTTCCTTCACTTAGCCATTTGCTTTATTTTGTTAGGACGCGATATTCCACTCATTGAAAATATAAGCAGCTATTCGAGGTGTTTCAACGAGATAATATAACAGAACCGTCACTCGCAGTCATTATTCACAGCTTTTCAGTGGCTTAAATAAGCAAATATTTCTTTATATATTGTCGGAATAGCTGTTAATTTATTTTGGCATCTAAAACAAACTATCGGCTGATGCATGATAGCGCGCAATTTGATTGATTTGATTTATTTTTCATGAAAAAACACTCTAATCTCAGGGGCCGGCATAAAAACAAGCGGCGGGACGGATTCGGCTCTCAGGCCATAGTTTGCCAACCCCTGATTTAAGTCAACCAGATTTAAAAAAAAAAAAAAAAAAAAAAATAAAAAAAAAAAAAAAAAAATTCTTAAAAAACTGCATCTATTGCTCTTAAATTTAAAATGAATTATTAAAAAAACTATGCAATAATTCAGAAAATGAGCACACGTTAAATTTTATACTTAGATACAGAAAAACAAACAACTTAAGTTTGTTAACAAATAACATATTTTTGCGTGCGTACGGGTTCGTTACGAAATGAATGCACAAGTCCGATGACAAATGAAAAAAATTTATTATTATCACAACAAATATGCTTAAATTTCCTCAAATATTCGTGCAGTATTACAATCTCACAGTAGTTATCTTTTAACTACTCAAACTTTCAAAAGAACTTAATTCAAAACAGCTAAAGAAAGCTAATCCGCGAATTCGCTACAATCAACAAGAGCAGTTTTCTAAACAAACTCTTAAAACAACAAGCTAACTAAAAAAAACTGACTGAATTGAGAGGTTTTCCTCCTTTTTATAAGATTTTTAAATCGCGCGCGAGAACTTTCTGGAACTTTCTCGAAATCAAAAAGAGATATTTATTAAATGTTAAATGCACGCGCTCTTGCATTTTCCGGCTTAGCTTTCTTTTAATATTCCTCACGCGCTGCACTGCGCGGGAAATAAAACTATTTAATTTATAATTGAACTAACATTAGCTTTTTAAATACCAAACTCGTAACAATATTAAATTTGAAGCATAAATTTCTTACATTTTGCCGTATGACTATACAGACTCGATTGAAAAGTGCACAACGCATTTAAAGTGAGTAGCATGTAAAATGAATCAATGTAAAACCGTGTTTCGCGGCTAATGGCCCTTTTGAACTTGGAAAATAAATAAATAAATTGTTGCGTGCGTACGGTTTCGTTACGAAATGAATGCACAAGTCCGATGGAAAATGAAGAAAATTTATTATTATCACAACAAATATGATTAAATGTCCTCAAATAATCGTGCAGTATCACAATATATCACAGTAGTATCTTCTAACTACTCAAACGTTCAAGAGAATTCAAAACAGCTAAAGAAAGCTAATCCGCGAATTCGCTACAGTCAACAAGCGCAGTTTTCTAAACAACAACAAACTAAATAACTACAACGAACTGAAATTGAAATCGAAATCGAGTCAATGGCTAGGCGGCAATTAGTAGCCAACCGCTACTTTAACCGTCTCTGTTGGTAAATTGCTCTAAGGCGTTGGTACTTAAGTTTTTAATTAAGGCGATTTACGCCGCGCCAACTAGGCGAAACTTGTCAAATTTAGTGAAATGTAGGTGGAGTGGAGGGAGATGATTGGCAGGAGCCTGTCACGTGGGTGGTCACCCACCCAAGTTCAGACTCCGAGCAAAGCAGCTTACACGTGCAATGAGAAATATTGGATATATTAATAATTATCAAGTTTTGAAACAGGTTATCCAGATTGGAATAATTAAACTAATATCGAGATCTAAATGAAGACAAATGGCACAGCTAAATGCAACAGATTAGCTAAATAAAATATTCAAATTCATCCTTGCTGTAAAACACAGATTGGACAGTGGTAGTCACGTGGGGGTCACCCTCCCGTCCATAAGTCCACAATATTACAAAGTCTCTGATATAACAATAAGAAGATTACGAAAATGACAAATATAAGATCAGTGCTTTGAAGATCCAGGAACACGGATCATGTCCATATAAGTCTATAAAGTTTCAAAGACACTGGTAAAAATGACACTAATGAAGATAAAATAAAGATAATAGTACTATGTACAATATATACACATTTCACCATTTGCTGTTATGGAAGATGCCTCTTGGGCGCTTTGCTGCATTTTCTATTAGTAGGGATCATAATTTATCAGATCACGGATATGTTCGTATTGAGAAAGTTCTATTTTAGCATAGAAATTGTGGCTCGTGGTGAGAATTTGATCAGCTATGGGTCTTATTTTAGTTCTTTATGTATCTGCAGGTTACGTACGAACCATGGGGAGTCAACAATTTGTCTGAGTATTTGTTCTGAAAGACCTGTAGTTTGTGTCTATAAGTCTTGTACACAGTGGCCCAGATAGGCACTGCATAAAATAGGGTGGAGTCTTATTAAGCTGGTATAGATCTTCTTCTTGAGACTGATATTTAATTTAGCATTTCTTCTTATTAAAGGGTAAAGAGACATTTTAGCAGCGTGGCTTTGCGCAAGGCATACTCCGTGTGTTCTTTGAATAACAGCTGTGAGTCGAAGACCACTCCTAGATACTTGGTACTTGAAACAATTGCTAGGGGCTTGATCATTAATTTTTATGTATTTACGTTCACAGGAGTGAACTTCCGATGACGTCTGAAAAGGAGAATTTGGCTCTTTTTGACGGATTTACTTTTAATTTCCATGAATTCATAATAGTGTGCTATGATATTTACTGCGCTTTCAAGTTTATCTACAGCGAGCTGAGGTTTTAGCGACTTGGTTAAAACTGCTGTGTCGTCGGCATATTTCATTACTTTTGCATTCAAAGGAACCGGCATATCATTCGTCTAGATATTAAAAAGAAGCGGTCCCAGAACGCTTCCTTGAGCCACTCCGCTTTTAATTCTTTTTCTTCAAGAGAGAGAGTCATTAATTTTTACCTGAAAGGTCCTGTTTTTAAGATAGCTTTTCATGAGCTTAATAAAACTGATGGGCAGATGAACAAGGTGCAGTTACAACGAACTGAGAGGTTTTCCTCCTTTTATAAGATTTTAAA